AAAGAGTTTCTTGCCGTGGTTCATGCTTTTGAGAAGTTTTGGAACTACCTCATTGGTTCCAAAACTATTGTTTATACCGATCACGCAGCCATTAGGTACCTTATTGCAAAGAAAGAATCCAAGCCACGTCTTCTTCGGTGGGTCCTATCTCTCCAACAATTTGATGTTGAAATCCGTGATAAAAAGGGGGCCGAGAATGTGGTTGCGGACCATCTTTCCCGACTAGAGAATGTGCAAGCTAGTGATGATGAAATCCCTATATGTGATGAATTGAGAGATGATATGCTTTACATCTTGAATGAAAAAGAGCTTCCTTGGTTCGCCGACTTGGTAAACTACTTGGCTTGTGGAGAATGCCCACCCGATTTCTCCAAGAATCAAAGGAAGAAGCTAAAAAGGGAAGCAAGACATTATGTATGGGATGATCCCATTCTCTACAAACGAGGAGTAGACAGTTTGCTCCGTAAGTGTGTCCCGGATGAACAAGTGCAAGGAGTGCTCAAGATGTGCCATTCTGATCCATGTGGAGGGCATATGGGAGCCAACAAAACTGCATTGAAAATCTTGCATAGCGGTTTGTGGTGGCCTCACATCTTCAAGGACGCTTGGGGATTTGTGAAGACTTGTGACCGGTGTCAACGAACCGGCAACATATCCAAGCGCAATGAGATGCCCCAACAACCGATTCTTGAGCTTGAGGTATTTGATGTATGGGGTATGGATTTCATGGGGCCATTCCCAAATTCTCATGGGAATCAATACATCCTTGTGGCGGTCGACTATGTATCAAAATGGGTGGAAGCCATTGCCTCCCCAACTAATGACCACAAGGTTGTCATGAAGATGTTCAAAAAAGTCATATTTCCAAGATTCGGTATTCCAAGGGCGGTGGTGAGTGACAATGGTTCACATTTTGTTCATAGTGCTTTTCAAAAGATGCTAAGAAAGCACGGGGTCCACCAAATATTCGGCCTTACCTATCATCCACAAACAAGTGGACAAGCGGAAGTGTCTAACCGTCAAATAAAGCTAATCCTCGAGAAGACGGTTGCTAAGAACAGGAAGGATTGGTCAGAAAAGCTTGATGACGCTCTATGGGCATATAGAACGGCGTACAAGACCCCAATAGGCACAACTCCATATCGTCTAGTGTATGGAAAATCTTGTCATCTACCGGTGGAGCTTGAGCACCGGACCCAATAGGCAATCAAGAAGATTAATTTCGACTTGGCTAGCGCGGGAGAGCAAAGATGGCTTGATTTGCATGAACTTGAAGAGCTAAGGTTGGAAGCCTATGAGTGTGCTAGAAACTATAAGAATCGCACTAAGGATTGCCACGACCGGAACATTGAAAAGAAAGCATTTCTAAAAGGCGATAAGGTACTCCTCTACAATTCTAGGATGAAATTGTTTCCCGGGAAACTTTTATCAAGGTGGAGTGGACCTTTTGTTGTCAAGGAAGTGTTTCCTCATGGAGCCGTGGAAGTTTGGGATATGGACGACAAGAGATCTTTCAAGGTGAATGGGCATCGCCTCAAGCTTTACTACGAGGGTGCTCATGTGGGTGTTTTAGAATCAACTCAATGTAATCTTACCTCCTGAGTGTGGAGGTCGTCAAGCTATTGACGTTAAAGAAGCGCTTCCGGGAGGCAACCCGATTAAAAAAAAAGAAAAAAAAAGAGAGAGAAGAGAGAGTCAAGAAAATAAAAGGAGTGAAAAATAAAACAATGAATGAGAGAAGGAAAGAATATGAGTGTTGGGAATATCTGATTTTGGCCAATATTGTTGAATTTTGTTCTTGTGGTTTTGATATAGGTACTTGAAGCAAAAAGAGCCGAAGAAAACAAAACAGGAAGCTGTCAACAGCTAGGAGCGGGCGCTCCAACACAACTGCAAGCCCGCTCCAAGCTCAATGTACGAAACAGTAGGCTTCAAGACTGGTAGGAGCGGGCGCTCCAGCTCAACTGCACGCCCGCTCCTGTCTGGGTTAGCAAACAGGTTTCAATCATAGCATTAGAGCGGGCGCTCCACTATCATTGCACGCCCGCTCCTGTCAAATGCCGTAGCCAAAATTGATTTAAGGAGCGTGCGCTCCAACTCACCTGCACGCCCGCTCCTTGCTGGGTCAGAAAGTCAGATTCTCAACTTCGGCTTGGAGCGGGCGCTCCAACATCTCTGCACGCCCGCTCCAAAATGGTTTTAAAACAGGCAGAAACTCTTTCTCAGTTAGGAGCGGGCGCTCCTACCCTTCTGCACGCCCGCTCCTACCTGTCCGGGTAAAAAAAAAAAGAGGAACTTATCTCTCTTTTTATCACTTTACCCATCATTTCTCACCACTCATTCAAACATTCATACTCTCTCTCCTCCTTCCCATCTACTTCTCTCTCTAAAAACCTCATATTCTCCAACTTCTCTCTTCATTTTCATTATCAAATCTCAACTTTCTTCAACCGAAATTCACAAATTCTTAATCTACATCAAATTCTCTCTCCAAAAACCATAATTTTACAAAAATTTGGGCAAAAATTTCGAAGACCCACAAGTGGGAATTGAAGAAAATCAATAGGGAAAGGGGCAAGCTTGCTAGTAAAGGAGGAATTTGGGTAAATTGGAGGATTTTAGAGTATTTTCATACTCTAAGTGGTATAATTTTCTTCCTTATTTCACTTTCCCTCTTAAACCTAAGGGTTTTTCTTCAATATTTCTCTCAATTTGTTTATTTCATGATTGTTGTGTAATTAGTTGCATGATTAGGTGATTTAAACAAATTTTCTTACCTTTGATAATTAAATTGTTGATTTTTGTGGATAATTGTGGAGTAAGGGAATGGCTTGTGCATGAAAAATTAATTATAATTTGTGAATTTGTGAATTTTTGTGTGAGAATTGTTGTGTTAAGATTGTTGGTTGGTTGTGTGGAAATATTATTGAATTGTGAGCAGGTACCTTGGTTTAATTTGGGGGATTTGAAGTTAAGGAGGTTGTGTTTGTTGAATTTTGGTGCTTGTGTGAGGAGTTTTGAGTGAACCCTCTTTACTCCTTTTTCCAAATTTGTCAAGATGGTGCTAAGATTGTTTGGAGGTACGGGAGTAAAGAAAAGAAAGACTTCCAGCATCCAAATATCCGAAAACCAAAACCAAACCCAAACTCAAAACCAAGACAATGCTCCTCCTCCGGTTAGAATCCCCGAAAAATTTAAAAAGTATCACTCCGAGCTTTCAAAACGAAAAATCCTTCCAACAAGATTTTACGACCAATCAACTTGCCATCTTTTAGGGATAGATGAAGGAATTCGGCGTGTGGCCGATAATTTCGGATGGTTAAACTACCTCAAGAAGAGGAAGCTAACCTACGAATCGATCACTCTCGAGTTCCTCTCAACCTTAACCATGCGCCGAATCAATTGTGAGGGAGAGCCTCTTGAGTGCGAAATTAAGTTTAGACTTTTCAATCAAGAAAAGACTCTAACCTTAACTCGCCTCAATGAAATATTTGAGTGGCCCGTGTATAATCAAATAGACAACCCCGATAGTTTCTACCTTTCTAGCTACGAAGAGCAAAATTGGTGGAATACTATCGCGGAGTATCCTAATTTCACCACCCGGTCTAGCCACGCTAGCCACATTGTCCACCCCGTACTCCGTATATTCATGAGAATTATGGGGTACGCTTGTTTCTCGAAACAAGATCTCGGGAAGCTAACAAAAGAGGAGATCAAATGCCTCTTTATAGCTTCCCGATTTGAGGGGGACCTTGAGGGTAATGTAAACATGGGATACTTGTTTATCCAAAGGTGCCTTGAGATTAAGAGGAGTACGGAGTTCAGAGGGGAGATAAAATGTGGTGGCATGATCACAATAATTGCCAAGGCTTTGGGTTTCGCTAATTGGGTTGAGCAATTAACCCCGGTGAACGGGTCCAATGTCCTTGACCTTGCCGGACTTGCCTCAATGCAAATGCTTGTGGAGATCCGTGGCAATGTCACCTCATACTCTTGGTTGGTCAAGGGTAAGCACCGTTGCTTTCTCCCTAATGCGGCGGTAATGAACACCGTGGGGAACACTTGGCAAGTGCCAATTGAGCCACTCCCCGCGAATGTTCCCAACCCTGACCAACCATCTCAACCTCGTCGCCATAGTATTTCTACCGCTCCTAGGTTTTTCGGCGGCTCCTCTTCTTCTTCTTCTTCCTCCTTCGACCTTGAATCGGCTTTTCACCGCCTAAATCTTTCCAACCAAAGAATCCTCCAAGAAAAGGAATATCAAAGTTATGTGTCTCAAATGACATATCAAAGCCAAGTTGAGAGGGGAGACTTTCTCCCCTATGTCAACTATCCTAACCGCCCCGTTCAAGAGGGGCCGGTTGCGGGTTGGAACAACAACCAACCCACCTACTCTTATTGGCAAGGACCTCGTAGCTCCGTTTCGGAGCTACGATCCTTCCCTCCCTACGATTATACACAACCCGGGGGTTGTGATTTTAGGGGGGACCCTTCTTATTACCACGTCCGCGAGACATGTGGTAATATGACTCCCGAGGAAATCGATAACCACCCCTTAAGGGGATACTTCGGGTTTCCACCCGGGTATGATGGTGGGTGGGGCACTAGTAATGCACCGGACTACGGTCACTATCGTAGTAGCCCCAACTATGATCTTCCTCCATACGTGGATCAACCTTCCTTTTCCGGCGATGTAGACCTCAACTATAACTACATGCCATCACCGCCTAGGGAGGATGATCGGGAGTAGCCTTTAGACATTTGTTTTTACCGTTCCCTTCTCTTCTTTTCCCATCATGTGTAACACCGAGGCCAGTGTCGAGTTCTAGCTTGGGGGGGAGATGTTTCTCATTGTGTCCATCTATCGTGGGAACGGTAATCAAATGTCTAGCTTGGGGGAAGTCTTGGGGTCTTTGTGTCTAGGGTAGTTTTCGGTTTTGGTAGGAAATGTGCTTTCTTGTGATGCCTTTTGTGCTATGTATGGAGAAATTTGAGATTGTATGTGGAATGTTTGGCATGAAAGGCTTAGTCTAGCCTTTGGGACTTGTGGTAGGATTCATAAGGTATTATGTTCTAGTTTGCATGCCTATTTTAGGTTGGTTGTTACCCTTTTCACGTTTTTATGGCATGCCTAGGCTAGAACAATTGCATATTGATGTTTTTGTCTCACTTCTCTTTATGTGTGTGCTATTTGGAGCATCTTATCTATGGCTTTGATATGATCATGCTTTGGTTGGTTTGATTGTTGGTTGGTATCATGGTTGATTGGCATTGTTCTTGGTCTTGCTTGATGATGAATTTTGATGATGATTTCCCTTAATATCCAAATTTCTTTTTCTTATCCTCTAACCCCTCTAACATCCAAATTCCCTAATATCCAAATCCCTAATATCCAAATTCTTTAATTAGTTTCTCTTTCCCCCATTTTCAACCTTTTTTTCAAAAAAAAAAAAAAAAAAAAAAAAAAAGGATTTTGTTTGCCTTTGATCGGTTTGCAATGATGATATTGAATTGTATGTGGTGGATGTTTGTTTTCTTTTCGTAATAAAATTTCGAGCATGGTTTAGATGCCCTTGGTGGAACATAGAATTGGTTAGTTTAGGCTAGTGTGAGAATAACTTTCCCGAATGTGCGAAACTTAAAGTCTAGGTTTTTGGTAAGATGGAGTCGCCCATATCAAAGGAATTTGAACCCCGAAAGGTAGTAATTGATCCCACATTGTTCCCAAAAGTGAGGTTGTAATATTTTTTTTTTCAAGCCTACTACATTTTGAATGAGTGGCAAGGATCCTCTTTGATTTAGTACCTAGATCGAGAACTTGAGTCCTGACTCCCAAGATCGCGGCCTAAACTACTCTTAGTAATATGAAGTTGTTATGTATTGTTCATTCGCACAAAGTTAAGGCATGTCATTCTGGTTTCCTTAGTTCAATCTTTAAGTTGTTATAAATAATAGTTTGTGATGTAAATGCCCAAGTTTGAAAAAAAAAAGAAAAAAAAAAGAAAAAAGGGAAAGAAGTGATGAATAGCCACCACCCTAGCGATTAAACAAGCTTGGGGGTGCGTTTTTGTTTCAAGTTTATTCATAGTTTGTATTTTGGGTCAAAGTTAGAAACCTCTTTAGGTTTGCTCTTAGTGCTATATATCTTAGCTTGACTTTAATTGCAAAGCACTTCTAGTTTTCTCTATGCCTTAACTTTGTGCCGTATTCCTTGAGTCTTGTAATGTTAGTAGACTAGTTGAAGCCATAGACGGTGGAGGGAGTTGGTTCACAAGCATATGGAGAGGGTATTTATCATTGAGATGTCGAGTGCTCTAAACCTTCTTTGGTCTATTTTTCTTTCGGCTCCTTCGAGGAGTCATGAGACATTACCATTAGGGGGAATTTGAACTTTGTGTTGGGGACGCGGTAAGATTGGTTGAATGGACCAAAGTTGAGTACATTCGGGAAGGTTAGCTAGGCCTTGGCTAGTCATGACCGTGGTTGATCTTAGGCATATACCTCATGCTCGAGTTTTATTGCTTAAGGATTCTCATATCTATGCATGTGCTTTTCTTTGAGCAAATTGATCTTTGGGTTTGTTTTTGGGCAATGTGAATTGCTTGAGGACAAGCATTTGGCTAGCTTGGGGGGATTTGATAAGTGGTTTATTTGACCACTTATTGTGTAAATTTAAACCCGATTTTGCGATCATTTCCCCTCTTTCTAACCCAATTTTGAATGAAAATGTTTTGTCTCGGCTTTCCCCCTCTTGGTTTGTGTTTGTCCATGTTTTGCAGGTCTATGGACTCAATTAGGCAGGCTTTCGGTGCATGAATCGTGTTTAAGACAAGAGGATTGAGGATTGGAGAGGGCGCTCCAGGGGAGCGGGCGCTCCTCGACTCTAGCTACATTCTGCCCAAGTTAAGGTGCTGTTAGGAGCGAGCGTGCTCCTCACCAGGAGCGGGCGCTACTCCCTTTGAAGATTGAATCTGCCCATGCTGCTGGAACAGGGGAGCGGGCGTGCATCATGTGAGGAGCGGGCGCTCCTCCCTGACACTTTCAAATCTGATCCTTCATTGAAGCATTCTGGAGAGGGCGTGCAGCCGCAAGGAGCGAGCACTCCTAGCTTAGGAGCGGGCGCTCCTCATTATGGAGCGGGCGCTCCTCGCTGGGAATCCGTTTTCTTTTGACGGATTTCCCTATGTGTTTCGGGGAGTATAAATACTTCCCCTTTAGCTCATTTAGAGAAGGGGTATAGTAGCCTAGTTTTCAGAAACCTCTCTTAGTTTGAAACATTCCTTAGGATTAATTTAGCTTAGTTTTCATCAAATCAAATCATTGTATTAGTGAAATTCAAGAATTACTCTCAAAGTTTGGCAATTTGTATTCAACATTTGAAGCTTCAATTAGTAATTTCTCCAACCTTTTTCCACTTAATTTCATATTTTATTTGGTATTTGCATGTTATTTTAATCTTCTTAGTTCTTGGTAATTTGTTATTGGATGATAGTTATTTCAATTGTTAACCACTTTTCCCCAATTATTGAAGTATTTAGAACCCTAATTCTTGATTGCATGTTGATAAACATGAGTTGTGAGTAGTCTTCTTGCTAGGGGTTGGGTGAAGCTCGACCTTTTGGGTTAACTATGCAAATGTGGGAGAAGCATTGATGTTTGTATTGCAATTAAATTGATTATATGAGATTGCTTGTTAGTTCCTCATGATAGGTTTAGCTACCCTTGACTTAGGAGCTTGATAGTATGATATGCTTAATTTGACATGGAAGTGTAAATTGAGTACGTCATTACTTATTGTAATTTGATTATGTATCATCTATTGCTAAACTAATGAGGAATCTAAGTTTAGTAGTGTGAGTTGTTTTCTAATTGCATGAGGTTGATTTTACATATAGTCCTTGCTATATCTTGTCTATTCTACTCCCCGTTTGCCTATTTGCCTTGGTTGAGTGGATCTCATTCCCTAGTATCTTTAATTCATTGATTTAGAACCATAGTTTGTTTGTCTTCTTGACGAACCCCAATTCACCAATTGACTTCGAATTAGCTTAAGTGTAAAGATCTTTGGCAACCATATCCCGTTCCTTGTGGACCGAACTCTTACTTGTCATTATGCTTGGTTTGTAAGGTGTTTGTTAATAAATGTGTTTGATTGAGTGTGGAATGTACGACCGTTCTAACGCCCATCAGCAACTAAACACACCGTTTAATGGTGCATAGAAGAAGAGCCTTGATCAAAACGCAACGTTTTGACCTGCGGTTTTTGAAAATAAAAATAAAAAAGCTGACTGACGCGCGTCAGTCAATGAACGAATGGTGGAGCGCCACGTGGCATGTGCAGGGAGCTGGCCAATAGGAAAAATATAGCTGTTGCCAACGGTTATAATTTTTGTAATGTAATTTCTGAAATAAATATTTATTAAAAAAAAAAAATTACCAACGGTCATAAAATTTAATTCTCTATAAATAGACATGCATTTTGGTATAATTTCAGAAATACCATAAATCCTCCATATTCTTTATTTTTCTAAATATTCCGAAATTAGAAGAAGATTTTTGTTGTATTTCACCAATTTTCAGGTAAATATTAATTTATTTATTTTTGCAAAATTCAGTTATTTATTAAAATTAGTATATATGTGATTTTTTTGCAAATTAAAAAATTTAGTTCATGTTATGTAATTACAATTATATATATAATTGTATTTAGAAAGTTGTTGATATTTTGTTCATACATTAATAAATTTGAAGTTAATTTAATCTGAATTTATTTGCTAATTTTTTGGAAATTGGGTTGATGTTTTGTATATGTGAAGTAATTTGTTATGCTAATTTATATTTATATGTTATTTTTGTATAGGTAGTTAATTTCGTTACATTATATTATGTATTATATGTTTTGTTTATATATTGTTGAACGTGAATGTTGTATATTTAATGAATTAAGTGGTATTAGATTATATTTTTTGATTTATTGTCATTTTAATTTGTTGTTTAAATGTAGTTAAAATTGTTGCAAGTTGTATATTAGTAAATTAAGTGTTGTGAAAGTTAGGTTATGTACAACTGTTAAAAAAATGGCTAAAACAATGTTGTGAATGTCATGTCTTAATTACAATCTTTATAAACGTATTTATTTTTTGTTTTGTGATGCAGAATCTTTTAATGGATCCGAACAACCCAAATGTCCGTCAACAATTTTCTGGTTTTAGTAATGATTTCGAAACTAATCCCGAGTTTCAATTGTTCTTGCAAAGAATGGGAAATACGTCTTTGCAACCACCTCCACAGCATTAGACACCCACTGAATTTCCCCTAGAATACTATGATAATGAAGAACGTACATTTGAAACTGATCATGGTAGCAACACCCAATTCGATGACAGTCAAGAGGAAAGCGTACCAGAGACGCCGCAATATCCTCCACTAGTTCCCAGAATGCAATCCAACCAGGTTGCTGCACGAGCGACTCGTGTTTGGTCTATTGCGGAAGATGAAGCTCTGATTGGGTTGTACTTGCAGATTAGCGAAGATGCTATTAAAGGTACGAACCGGAAAGCAACTGACCTATGGCGCAATGTACACGCAGCTCAAATGGCTCATGCGGAGAAGCCGCATATACTTCCGCCAAGACCTATGAAGAGTCTATCGTCGCACTGGAGAAGGTTGGCAGCAGACACACTACAATGGATATCTTGCTATGATGAAGTGGGTAGACGTCCGGAGGGAGGGAGTGGTTACAACGAAGCTGACCGTGTAAAAAGTGCATTGAAGCTTTTTCATCTGGCCAAAGGTCACAATTTCAGTTTTCCTCACCAATAAAGATCCAAAGTGGAGGCCAAAGCTGAGATGGTCCTTGTCAAAGGAGGAAAGAAAAGCTGCTTGTGATGTTGAGGAGCAAGGTAGTCCTGGAAGTGGGAAAAGGTCGAGAGATGATGTAGGGGATGAAACCCCTACGGATGGTTTTTCATCTGGAGGAATACGACGACCCGATGGTGTTAAGAAAGCAAAGGCCAAGCGTAAAGGGAAAGCAGTGGCTACAGAAAGTGGTTCGTCTGACCTTGGCGAACGAATGAAGGAATTCGCTACAATTCGCGAAAGGGAGGCCAATCTAAAGGAATAGAGGATAAAAATTGAAAAGGATAAGGAATAGAGGAAACGGGAGGAACTTGACATTCATAAGATGAGAACCATGTTTGATATGCTGCAAACTCTGAAGAATTCGCCTACGCCATTCACTCCTCAAGAAGAGGCGTACAAGAATTTTTTACTTGGTAAATCACAAGGCTTTTAAGAATGTTATTGTAGTTGGTCTACGCTTGTATTACTCAAGTTTTTAATTATGCTATTGTAGTTGGTCTATGTTTGTATTAGTTAAGTTTTTAATTATGCGCAATATAGTCTTTTATTTTTAACTTGTATTAGTGGTGTGTTTAATTTCAATGTCAGATGTAAACTTGTATTCTGATTTCCAATATTAAACGACAAGTTGTTTAACAAGTTGATTTCAATTGTCATTGTTACCGACATAATTGCATTCACTTTTTTCATTGTGTAGTCACTTTTTTCTGAATTCACTTTGTCAGAATGCTTTAACTTTTGGTCATTGATACCGACATAATTGCACTCAAGATTTGTCATTGTCAACTAGCATAGTATACCTATCCCGTGGCTGAAAATTTGATTCCTTTAGTTGGTGTGGTCATTCAGATTTGTAACCACATATTCATTTGATATATTTGCTATATATAGTAAGCATGGCACATATCCACAATCTCACCAATTCAGAAACTTACATTATTAATACAAGATGTATTCCAGACCATCATCAAGTTCAAGTTCAAGTTCATCTTCTTCAAATACTGAAGAATTTGATCAACTCGTTGATGAACTCTTCACATACCAACCCCCAACTTTCCTCATGCCCCAAACACAATCCCAACCCACTACAGAAACACCTAGAGGGGGTACGAATAGAAGAGATAGGGAAATGGGACATGCCAGGCTGTTTAATGATTATTTTTCCGATAATCCTGTGTACAACACCAACCAATTTAGAAGGAGATTTCGAATGCAACGACCTTTGTTTTTACGTATAATGAACAAGGTCGTCGAAGGTGATGTTTACTTCCAGCAGCGTAGGGATGCAGCTGGAATGTTAGGCTTATCACCTCTGTAAAAATGTACAGCCACGATAAGAATGTTAGTCTACGGCTTGGCTGCAGACGCCGTGGATGAATACGTTCGAATAAGTCAGTCAACCGCTCGAGTTGCCCTTCAACGTTTTTGTGCCGGGGTCATTGATCAGTTCGGAACCGAGTACCTGCGTAACCCTACAACTGATGATTTGGCCCGAAATACTGCATCAAAATGAACTGCGTGGTTTTCCAGGCATGATAGGCAGCATTGATTGCATGCATTAGGAATGGAAGAACTGTCCAACGGCTTGGAAAGCGCAGTACGCCGGTAGAAATAAGAAAGCAACGCTAATACTGGAAGCCGTTGCGGATCAGGATTTATGGATCTGGCATTCCTTCTTTGGTATTCCCGGATCTTGTAATGATCTTAATGTGTTGTACCATTCACCAGTGTTCGATGAAGTTCTGCATGGTCGAGCTCCTCCGGTAAATTTTACAGTTAACGGCCATGAATACAACATGGCTTATTACTTAGCCGACGGCATTTATCCAAAGTGGGCAAATTTTATTCAGGGTATCACACACCCTCAACTTCAGAAGGATAAAATGTTCGCTGACCATCAGGCTGCTGCTCGGAAGGACGTTGAAAGAGCTTTCGGTGTTTTGCAAGCTCGATTTGCAATAATACGAAAACCATCACTGGCGTACAATGAGGACATGCTGCGGGACATAATGAAAGCATGTATCATTATGCACAACATGATTGTTGAAGATGAGTGACACAACTACACTCGAGCCGAAGTTCTAAGAAGCTTCTACGAAGAAGATCAACAAGATTTAACAACAGCATCAACGTCTACAACGCCACCGTTTGAATTCAACGTAGGGCGACCTACCAACTTTGACTTTAACTCATTTCTACAACGAAAAGCTTCCCTCCGTGATAGAGAAACTCATCTATCTCTAAAAAGTGATTTAGTCGAATATATTTGGTTACAATACGAGCCAACTAATTAGGGAAAAATTAGCACGACTTAAATAAGGCCAACTACTATGACCTACCTACTTTTCCGTGCGCAGTCGTTTTTTTTTTTAATTGTTTTGTTTATTTTATTCCCTAAGTTTAATTACGCATGACATTTCAAATATAATCGGTTTCTAGTACTATACCACTTTTTAAAATAAATAAAAACATTTACGAAATTTTTAGCGTTTTGTTACCATTATTTCATCTAACGTACATAATTTAACGACATATTTTACCGATAAAAATGACACAAATAAAAATTTTTTTTTTACACATATTTAGACTAGTTTTTATTTAATTGGAGTAATATTGTTAAAATATAAATGAAATTAATAAATAAAGAAGTGTTGTGTAGGAGAGAGAAAGTAATGGTAGGGTATTGAAAAAGTAAGAGAGAGAGTGGTGGGCAAGCATTATTTTTGCTCACCATTGGGAGAGAAATTGTGAAAAAAAATTGCCCATGGGCAAAACTGATTTGTTGAGAGAGAAAGTGGGTAGAGAGATATTGAGCAAGCATTATTTTTGCCCACCTTTGGAAGTGGTCTTAATAAGAGTCATTTGGTCACTCCTGTGGACAATTGAGCACATTACTGACGGCACTAGTTCTCTTCTCACTCGGTCTCAAAGTTGGAGTATCCATGAGACAGATTGCGCAACAAATTAGATCACTTACACATGTCATTTAATAATTTATAATATGGATTTCTATGTTTTAAATAATTCTAGTTCATCTACTATTCTTTAATTTAATTTAGTAGAAATTCTCATCGTAAGGAGGGGTTCCTGATTTTTTTCTTTTAGCTATAAAAAAAGCAACTAACTGAAAGGAGGCACATGAACGATTAGAGGAGTAGTTTTATGCATGAACACCATATATTGTCAAACCCTATGTTTTGCGTACCAACCTTTTCCTTTTTTCCGTATGTCTTATTTGTAACAGAAATTCCCATATTAGTACCACGTGGTGAACCTGTATTATTGTATTTGAATTCAAACCTTCTTTTTCCTAGTCATAGCTTAACTTTGTCCATTTTTAATCCTAATTTCTTTATCGTTACTCTTATTTGCATTAATTTGAATTAGCTTAGTCATCCAAACTCATTGAATAAGTTACTCTCTCTGTCATTTAATGTATACTTTTTTGTGCACATATTTAATAGATTAAATATAGATTAGCCGTTTGATTCATGTTAAATGAGTAATAATTGACTGATATGTCATTTGGTTTAAAATTACGTCGGATCACTTTAGTACCCAATTAATTATAAAATAATATTTATAAAAATTGATAAATCGATTTAGATATACTTTTGGATTCAATTCAAGTTATCCAACCTCAATTCAACTTAGTTTTCACAGCTATTGAAATCAAATACGATTTGAATATGAGTCGAGTAACGTAATAGAAAGAGAGAAAATGTTGAATAATCACACCCAAGGGAAAAACTGGTTGTCAAACTCAAACAATAAGAAAAAAGACAAGTGAAAAAATAGAGGGGGAAAGAGGAGAAGAAAAAGTACATAGTGTCAAACCCACCAAAAAAGCCCTACACTCCCCCCAAACCTCTCCATTTTGCTCTCTCCCTCTTCTCTTCTTCCTCTCTCTCTCCTCTTCTCTTCTCCCCCCTTTTCTTTCTCTGTCCTCTTTCTTCGTAGATCAATTCAAAGTTCCCATCCTTTTCCCAATTTCATCATTATCCCTAAATCAATTTTACCCAATTTCCCTCTTTTTTTCTTCTAGGGTTTTTATGAATTCTTCCCAATTCATACAGAAACGTTAATTTGATTGAGGAAACGTCGTTTTTGTTTGTTGTTGAAGTTGGGGTTTGATTTTTTAGGGTTTGGAGGAGGGGGTGTGAAAATGAGCGGTGGGGTTAGGGCGTCGTCAACAATCCCTAACAATGTGAAAAAGACGATCCAGAACATCAAAGAGATCACTGGAAATCACAGTGATGAAGAAATTTATGCAATGCTTAAGGATTGTTCTATGGATCCTAATGAAACCACTCAAAAGCTCCTCCTTCAAGGTTCGTCTTGCTCCCTATTTTATCTCTCTGTTCTCCCATTTTGTCCTGCTGATCTGTGTTTCGGCTCGATTTCGGCTTCAATATGTTGTGTTGTTTTTTTTTGCTTTGGTGGTTTTTCTGTATCTTTTGGGTCAATTGGGTGGTTTAGTTTTGAGGTGGGTTGGTTTAAGAGCTTGCTCGGTTTTCGATTCGTTGATTGCTGGTGTTTATTTTTTCCCCTGCTATATTTTGCTTTATGTAATGGAAGAACCATGTAGCATCATGCAAGTCGGTTTTAGTTACCTGAGTGCTCCTCGCCTTGCCCTCGGAAGCAACCGTTTACTGTAGTTTATACACTTCAGTGAATGTCAACTTGAACACAACTGTATGAGCTAGTTCAGTTCTATGCTAGGTGTCTTAACTAATTTGGGTATTTGGACCGCTCTAAGTGTAGTTATATCGAGTTGTCGTCGTGGCATTTAAGTTTTGAATTTTGAACCAGTTAAAGATGGAAAAAATAGTTAGCAGATCCACTGTAGATGTGCTTGCTTTATGAGTGATTGTGTCAATTGATTATTTGGCAATTTGGTAGTTATTGGAAACTACTTGTTATTTAGGTCTCTTGAAATTTGAATGGCAAGACCTGTTAATCCATTATCTATAAATACTATTTGTTTGAAATGTAAAAAAGAAACATGCAAAGTACAAGGCCATATTGAAATGAGTTGATGGGAGGTGCGAAGTGGTGCTCAGTTGCTCACTTAGTCCTATCCCACACCATGGGCACGATGACCTTCGTTAGATGGGTGCAAAAAGGCCTGTTTGTTTATCAAGAGTTTCATGTTTAATTTCACGCCAAACCTGATACATATAGAGCTTGTATTAATATTTAAGATGCACTGTCAAGAATGAAAGACTCTTAGTTGGAAAGATAAATTTACTTCTTTATATTGCCATTTTTGTCCTAGATGAATGAAGGAAGGTCATTTGTGCTTGATGTACATTTGGGCTTGTCTAGTGGTTTTAAGGAATGTTATTTTATATATGAATAAATGAAGCTGGGTTCTTGGAGGTAAATCATGGCTAGAGGGAGGCTTGTGAGTGGGGGCACACAACTGGATTAGGGCCAAGCATATGGTTCACTTTCACACGACTATTTAAGGCGATAGGGTAGTTGGATAGAAAGGTGGAAGATTGCAAGGGTGGATGTGCCCCTATGATTGAGCACTTGCCTTTCATCATGATTTTGGTTGTATTTGATTTAATCCCTTCATTTTTGGTGTTTAATGGCTTCAAATAAAATTTCGAGATCACAACAGTTTCCTTTTTCTAATATTTCTCCCTTTTGTTATCCCTAATACCCTGCTACGGCCCACATATTATTCTTTATAACAGTCCAAGACTTGATGGGAAAACTTCCTTATTTACTTGAGAGTGAATTTGCAATTGCCATTGAGAAAGTTATCATATTATTAAGTCACCTTTTGGAGTTCTAGATTAATATTATCACATTATAGTTGAACTGCAAAGCGCAATTGAGGTGCGCCTGCCCTAAAGCAGCTGAGGGTTACAACCTCTAGGTTGACTTAAGGCACTTTAGCATTAGAGGTTTGCCTCTGAGCACACTTTTAGTGTTGTGGATTTTCTTCTTTTTGATATTATATTCCAAAGCATTTCCCCCTATAATGTTGGGAATATACGTGACAATCTATGACTGAAAAGAATTTCCCCCTACGCCTCCTAGGCATCTTCCTTGTATTCTCTCCTTGTGTAAAATCAAAGAATAGAATAAAGAGTGCAGCCTGATTCCCAAGATTGAAAAGTGGGAGATAGTGTGGGGTTAGAAAGAGATAATAAGAGACATTACTTGAGAAGGCTAGTGTGCAAATAATTTTGAGCAACTAATAGTGGTAAGGGTGGAAAATATTATGAGATGGAAGGAGTAATCTAACAATAATGGTAAATGAAAGACAATGAAAGGGATAACATGGGAATCCCTGAGTAGGTTGAAAATTATTTACACTGGAAATTCCTAATAATGTATTTGTAAAGTTTATGAACTTGTGTGTATGCAATGCTGACGTGGGGTAGTTGATTTTTTTAAATTAATTGCTGATGCAGAGTAGTGGTAGTTATGCCTTTTCTCCAGTGAGCTGGTTTTTAAGCTGATTATTTTTGTTTGCATTGACATATTCTGATATCCATGTGGCTGCACAGCTGACAACTGTGGTAATAGGCATTTTAGGTGAAAGAACTAGGTTTTTTTCAAGTCTGTTGACAAGTCTTAGTTTGAAGTAAGGTTGATGTTTGAGGGATTTAATATTCTCCTTACACTAATGGGATACTTCTCACATTTAGTCTGCCAAAAAGCAAACCAGGCAATTGAAATGACGTAAAATGCTCATGGTATCCACACTTCCCACAGGGAGATTTAGTTTGTTTCCTGTTTGAATGCTAAGATGATTTGCATGCTAATCTTGATGGCTTTTAGTTTGAAGTTTGGTTTAGGTTATAGTAACTTGACATATTTTTTTATTTTTATTTTTAAATTTATGACCTTTTTAATAAGCTATTGAGAATAAGCATTTCTTTAACTGTCGTACATATATATATTGAATTTGTGGCAGTTGCAAACTTATACTCTTTATTGAATTTTCTGTATTACTCTTTGCATTCTTACGCTGTTTTTATGTTCTTCAGATACCTTCCATGAAGTGAAAAGGAAAAAAGATCGGAAAAAAGAGGTAAGTCTTGAAATTAGTGTATTTAGTTGAATTTTCTGAAGTTAACTTTGTGAGTGCTTATGTAGATGTACTTTTTTATGTAAAGCAATTAATGGATCAGTGGCTGTCTTGACCTTTTACCATGATTGAGACATTGATATTAAATGTGTTTATAGGTTATTTTGGTGTTTTTATTTTTTAAAATGATAATATTTAGCCATTTAATATTTTGTAAGCTTGAGTATGGATGTTTCTCTCTCCTTATCATTATAAGTCATCATCGTCCATTTATTTAATGTGTACTGGGAATAAAGAGGAGGTTAATACACTTTGGGAAATAGATGCATGATATTTTGATTATTTCTGTTATTACTGGTGTTACTTATTTTGAAAAGAAGATTAATTTGTTGCTGGTAAAGGGAATTGGAAAGACTCGGTGCTTGTTTTGCTGACCAATGTAGTCTTGTGAATCAGAAAGGAAGTGGAAGAACATGAACTTGTTTGGTTTACTGAAACATTGGAATTTGTAATCCCTTGGAAGCTCTACTTCCCACAAAATGGAGGGATTTATTACCTAGATTCCTTTACGTAAGTGAACATTCCATAAGCAACCAAACAAAATATAATAGTTCCTAGTACATGTGAAAATTAATTTTGTAGGAAATACTATTTTCTACGCATAACTAAACAAGCACTTGGTTTTGAATAAATTGGCATAAACAAGGGTTGGCTTCAGCCAATTTTCTTCAATTTTTGTAATGCATTGATGGCAGATAGTATTAGCTTGAATTGGTTTTGGAATTTTGACTGAAAAGTGAAAACCTTTGTATAGTAGAAATGAAAGCGTTTCATGTGTGACCGCTTTAAATCAATACTTTTTGTAATGGAGATCCTTTCTAAGACTTGGAACAATTAATACTACTTCTTGGAGACCCTGTTCTGCTTGCTGTTTAGAGGGGCTTTAAATTAGAGAAATTGACATTTAAGCCCCTTTGCAATTTCCCACTAAGGTATCTGCCTTTTGCTCCTGCAATGCCCCTATCCTTGACCATGGTTTTTATGGGTTGTGCTCTCCATCAGGGACCCATCTCTATGCCATGTGTAACTTCTATTGGGATGCATAAAGCTAGATGTGTGTGCAGTGCTACAGTAACAACAGTGTTTCTAGATCTTACTCATTGAACCGTTCAAGGCAGTTCAACCCTGATGCCCAAATATTAGTTGCATTTAGAAATTTAAACCTCAGAACTGGAAAAGACTTCCAATTTCCGCCTTTACCTTTCTTGGCATTGAACATCATTGATCAACTCATTTGTCTCAACCTACTTGAGAGTCACCAAGTCAGCATTAGTTATTTGGGTGATTTGAGGCGCTGCTGCTAGCATTATTCTTAATTTGGATAAATTATTGTTACTTGAGCTTCACTGATTTTTCTTCAGCCGTACATGAGTTTAAGGAGGTTTTAAAAAGTACTTCTTTAATAGTCCATTTGGAAAAGCCTTAGATTATTAAGGTATCAAACAATGCATGCTCTGTGTATCATACATTGTTTTTTAACCTTTGTGATTGGCGTTATGCTGCTCGTGTAAGGGGGGAAATGAAGTTTATCAATTGATTTTGCCATTGTCATAACAATGTATTCTTTATCGCAAACCTTTGGGATATTGTCTGAAGGAATCATGCTACTTGTATATTATATCTTTCTTGTTATGGGTTTAAAATTCTTAAGCTATTTCAGTTTCCAATTTTCTATTACATCCGTTCCTTTAAGGCTCTCACCCACTTATGTAAGTTATGTTAGTGCTTTTTCCTATTTTAAATAATTTGCTACTCTTTTTCCTGCTTCATCTTACACAAACTCCACTTATGACACTCTCTTTCCTACTATATCTTATACAAAACCACCTATTAAAATCTTTACCTTTCCTTATACATGCCCCACTTGCTACATTCTCTCTGCTACACTATTTGGTTTTGTTTTTCTGCCTGTTGCTCTTGTTTGATATTTGTAATTGGTGGGACTTTCTGCACTGAGACAGTCATTGTTGGCTGCTGCACCTGTTGGTCGGATTGCATTTTGCATTCTGAGTTCTTATTGTGTTTGTATAATACAGAACCAGACTGGCCGAGATATTGTTGATTCATGGTGGAGACCTGGTCCTCCAGGACGGGGTGATCGTGGTGGACGGGGTAATTTTACATCTCGTTATGCCGCACCAGGTGAGTTGAGGATTATTCTTTATTGGGTTCATGTCAATATTGCTCTGTAGAAATTTATCATATCTAAAACTTTCTGAAAAACTATTTTGACCATATTTTCCTTTGTTTGGATTAATACAACCACACATAATGTTTTAAATTGCACGTCTTTTGTCTGCTGTTACTAGCAATAGTAGCTGTCTGCCTTTTCAAATTTTGGCTTTTCTCGTATTGTTTTATTTTCTAGAGGTTTGATAACTTTTATTTGATATTATATTTGTGGTTTCTTAGGGCCTGTTCAGTATTATTGTAGTTTTCAGTTTTTTGGTTTTTTTTTTTGTGTTTGAAAATCATGATATGATTCATAATAAAAATAAAAAATTAGTCAAACTTATTAGAATCATCATGATTTTGTAAACTGGCAGGAAAAAAGTGCCAACTACCTTTTCTGGTTTCTTAATTTTTGTTTTAGTTTTAAAAAGAAACAAAAATAAATTAAAGACAAACGAAAATGAACAGGCCCTTACATGTTTTACTACTGTGATTTTCATTTTTTATTCTGTTCTGATCTGTACTATGAATCATCAATGTGAATTTTGGGACAACGTTTTCAGATGCTGGTGGTGGAAGAAGTATTCCTGCTAAGGAGAATGGAATCGCCCAATCTTCTAACAAAGCTGGATCTATTTCATCTCCTCCAGTTCAGGAGACAAAGAGAAAAGAAGATCGAAGGTTACATTTTGTTGAAATTGTTCCTTTAAAGCAACTATTCATATACGGTCTTGGCGTCACAACCTTTACATGTCTATACTCTTGTTTATCCTCTACAGCTCTGTGATAGAGATGCCCAATGGTCCAGTTAATGTAGTTTCAGGGGGTAATAAAGGTGCCAACACCTTAAGTGGTGCCAAGGAACTTGAGCCACAGGCACGGAGTGGTGGAAGCAAGAAATCGAACATGGTGTCTGGAGTAAATGTGGAATCTATTTTGGCAGCAACCTCCCCAGCTGTTGGTTCTAATGATACAGATGTCCCTGCTGGTGCTGGCACCATTAAACGTGATGTTGGAATCCAGCACTCGCATGTGGAGCCAAATTCAAATACTTCTCCTGAAAACAAATCAAATGCTGGTGATGGACGTTGACCAATATATAGTATTAGAGTTTTCTTTTACTCTTTTGATTTATAAAAAACTGAGGTTTTTTGTTTGTTTGTTTTTTTGTATTTGTATGCTTAATTTGCTCCTGATGTTGGTAACTTGATGTCAGGCAAAGTGGGTGCCAAGTCACATGCTGTGAAGAATCAGTCTACAGAATTGTTGCAACCTTCATCATTGAGTCATGGAAGCTCAAGTAGACCTTCCTCTAACTATGGTAGTCGTTCACAGCAAGCTTTGGGCTCTCAAAAAGGTATTCCTGTTGTTCTCATCAAGATATCTGTTGCACCTGAATGTTTAGTGTCAAAATTAAATTCTGTGATAATTTGTGTTTCTGTTCTTTCTCGGTTGAGTTGTAGGGCTAGCCTTTGGCATTGGATGGTGTTAGCACTAATGATATGCTTTTAAAGCAAATACCTGCCTGGCTTTCTTTTCTAACTCAATAGGAGTCATTCATGCATTTACTTCCTTCACTATTGGGTTGTATTATCTAGGAACAAGCTCTTTTTTGTGCTTGGGACCCTCAGGTCTACCCAGACTTTCCGTTAGCGTGGGAGAGAGTCTAAGGAGGAGTTGCCAGTCGCAACTCACAGCATGCCTATTGCAATTCTGTGGTGTTGATAATTGCTTGATTAGAACTGAAAGCTTGCATCTTTACTTCTTTATCACGTTTATTATGTAGGATAGGGATACTTAGATGATGTCTTTGTGACTAAGCATGCTGGGCCTTTTAAGATTAATTCAGTTGGAGATCTGATTGTAGCTAGATTATATTGTTTTATGCATTTACTGTCTGAGGGCAACTTGCTCCCTTGCTATGCCGTTTCTAATTTTTAAATGTCTTATTTTTCCGCCTGATGTCAATAGGTGCTCAATAATGAACATTTAAATATTTACACAACCAACTTTTTATGATTCAGTGGGGCCGAATAAGGAGTGGAAGCCAAAGGTGACCAACACAAATACTGTTCAAGGACTTAAGACACCAGCTGCACCTGAAGGTTCCAATAAATTAGCTGAATCTTTTGCAGACACTCAATCTGTGGAAAACATAACTGATTCAGCTTGTGCTACCAACAAGCTAGAGAAGGAGCTGGAAGGTCTACTACATGTGAAGGATGCTCAGCATGTTATTATTCCAAACCACATACATGTACCTGATGCTGTGCGGACTGGTTTGAGTTTTGGAAGCTTTGATGCTACCTTTGTTATTGCTTCAAAAACCTCCAGCGAATCTGAGGCTGAAAACTTGAAATCTGTTTCTGAGACAGAACAGGCAATTGAAGAAACAGTGGAGGAGGCTGCTAGGTATGAAACTTTGTATACATTTTCTCTTACAATATACAACCAACTTGGGAATTATTTGCTGTCAGCCTATACCTGCCAGGATGCCATTCTTGCTTTAAAAGTGTTCTTCGTCCTTTTCCCTGATATGTCACTAATTTAATTAGGCTTGAATCATTGTCCAAGTTACTGGCACAGTAAGATTGTGGTTGGCTCTATCACCCGGCAAGGAGGATTATGTTTTGGTTTGGATATTCTTTATTTATTTATCTATTTGTGTGTGTGTTTCATGGCTGCTCCTTTTGAATATTCAAGAAAGAATACTTTGAATTGGGTAGTGTCCACATACTTAATTGCCAAATATGTGAATGTGGACAGGGTTAGAGGTGTAGGAGGTACATGGTTAATCTATTAACCTTTGAAGAGTTTTTTTTTTCCTCATTTTTTTTTTGCTGTCATAGGCTTGTTATCGTAATTTCTAGTTATCTTGGTGATACTGTTGCTCATATGGTCTAGTCATTCGTATTATGTATTCATCTGTTGACTGTTGCCCAGTTATTGTGAGGATTGCTTCTATTTAAGCTGCAGAACTCCTTGGTTCATCATTCTTTTAATTCTCTCTAGTGGCACTCTACTTTGCTTTAAGTTGGTCATCTTTTCTCAGTTGTGTAAGGGAGAAAAGTAAGAGATGTGAGAAGAGATAGATGAATGGTGATGGAAATTCTTTTCAACTTGAAACTCCAGAATTTATTTGCTCTACACTGAACTGTTGACCTGATATGCTCTCATTATTGTAAATTGAATTCAATTAAACTTATTTTACTTGGCCAGTACTTTCATAAACTATTATTTGATTTTTAAGATTTTGACTGATTTTTTTAACCTTGAATTGTGTTTATTTGAACTAATTAATTATTACTCCCTTTGTCCCTATTTGTTTGCTTCATTGCAATTTTGTGAGTCAAAATTTAAAAACTTTGACCATAAATTATCACTAATCAATAAGAAATAACAGTCATGTGGGATCTTGTTGGATTTGTTTCAATGTTACTTTTAAACTATCATATGTTTATAATTATTGGATAAGCTAAATTTGAGATATTTATGTTTTAAGATGTGTTTTGGAGAGCTTGAAAAGTCAAATGGTTCAAACAAATAGGGACAAAAGGAGTAACCTTGAGGTGGTCTTTAGTAAGAATTTCGTAATTTGAATACTTCGAATTAAACTTATATGGACTTATTAGATCTAGGACTTGTATCTTTAAAGGTGAGAATAATGATTGGCTTAATTCAAAATAATTAAGAAATGCACCATTGCCTAGGTTGTGAAAATGGCATTGAAGTTGGACTCTGGGCCATGGTCTTATATCTTGGCCGTATTGTGATCCATTGTAACGGTTTTTGATTTTATCATGACCAATATATTAGGCCGGAACAGGTGCAAATCATCCACATTGCCTGCGAAGGTTGTTGTGCAATCGTTTCCACGATTGTGAATGCTTATGAGTTTAAAACAATATAGATTGGGCCAGGGTGGTCCAGTGATCAATGCTTCTTTCTAAAGCATTTGGCTTTACTCTGGTTTCCTCTTAAAGATTAATAGATACCCCCCTGCATTATTTTATTGTTACTTATTTATCTACTAATATATATAACAGATGTTATTATGTATTTATGTAAATTATTATCTTATTTGTTTTCATCTATCTTTTCAAAATATCAAATTTTTTATAATTTTTTACTATAGATATTTAGAAATGGTCAAAGTTGTGCATCGCCAAACATAAAAATCAATATGAAACAATTTAGAGAAGTCCGAGTAGTATGTCCTATATCTCTGCTGGCATGATTTACTATTCAAATTTACTGTGTATGTTATACCTCATGTTTGAACAAATATCTGATGTGCAATTTTATTAAATTTTTTCTTTATGGAGATTATATGCTTTGATCTTGTGATCTAACCTAACAATTTTTCAATTTTAATCTGCAGTCAGAGCACATTGTCACCTGAAGAGGAAGTTGATTATGTTGGTTCACAATCGCCTAAGCCTGAGGAGAACTTGTCATCTGGTGATGTCAACGCTCCATCTAATTCAGTACCTGATTTCAGTGACTCAAAGGAGACAGTTAGTGGTCCTCAGCATTCTAATGTCCATACTTCTACCCATTATAATTTTGGTCTGTTGCCGCCAATGCTTGGCAACCCATTAGGATCACCAGAGGCCTCAGAGACACAACTTCGTGATGCTTCTAGAGCTTCTAGCTTTGTAGTAAGTGCTTTATTTCCCTTGCTGATGTCAATTTGGATCTTTGGTCTGATGGATGTTTGATCCTGCTAAGCAGTTGATTGGCAGATGTAGGGGTGGGTCATGTGCGTGTAATATTTCCAAAATCCTTAAATCTCATACATTGTACTGCTACAATATGTTTACAATATCTATATTTCACCTCTCGCCCCCTGTTGTTTGGGTAAGGTTATTGATGTACTAAGTTGATTTTTTGGTCAGATACAACAACCAGTGGATCCTTCAAGCTTCTATGCCCAATTTTATCGCTCTGGAGCAGACAGTGATGGCCGTGTGTCCCCCTTTCCTGCACATTTAGCTGCTGCGAAGTACAATGGGAATGTGGCAGTCCTGCCTTCACAAACTCCAACAGAGGTTTGTATGCTCACTTCATTAAAGAATTTCAAAGCATAAGGGGCTAATGTTGCAATGTTCAAATAGAGCATGCCGTCTCCTATTATTGATTATTATACACTCTCTTATTATTTATTAAGCGACAGATATGATCATCCTCTGTAATCGAGACCTTAAACATTAGAGGATATGTGTTGAATTGTGGAAGACCTGTTGAAGTAGTTTTCATCCTCATCTCATGTTGTGACTCCACTTGATTGGGTTCTGTTTTACTTATGGCTTCTATATTTTTTATTCACTTAATAAAAGGGTTTAACACTATAATGTCTCTTGCATGTCAAACCTAAATTTGTGCCCGCTGAGTAACTGAGTTCTAGCATTCTTCCCGCTTTTGGTTATTTTTACTGCTTTAATGGGTTTAATTACATTTTACTCTTTACTTTGTTGAGTTTGTTCCTTAAAGCTGGAGGTATGTGCTGCTCTCTCACACATAACTTTGGTATCCTTTCTCAAGGACTTGAGTGATATTTAAGGCTACAGTCTTTTCAAGAAATTGGCTTATATTTGTTTGATAGAAGGGCTGATTTCATCTCCTTTTTAATAATGTACTATCTGGCCCCAGATGAATCATTATAAAAGTAATCTTTGGTTTCAATTAGTTGTGCATGTCTCATCTAGGGTATAGGGTTGATAATGAGAGGAGTTTAGCTCACAGTAACCCATTTTATTGGAGTTTGACTTTTGACACTAATTACCACCTCTTCTTTTACAAGCCTATGGATTTTATAGATAAGGAAAAACATGGTCATGTGGGATCTTGGTTTTTTTTATTTTTATTTTTAAAAAAAAGATGTCTTGTTTGGTTCGTCTTAAAGTGTAGTTTCAAATTTCTCGACTTTTTATGATTTTTAACTTACTGGGATTTGAAAATATTAGCAGTTGAATTTATGCATTGGCCAACATGATTCAAAAACATGTCAACTAAAAATGAAGCGAGGAATTTTGTATTAATGTCCATTTTGGTGTTGGGTTAATGTTTGTATTATTTTAACCTTTTTTGTTATTGCAAACATCTAATATATACATGAATAGTTCAATTTCTTTTGTGTCAGATTCTGCTGAATTTGATACATTTGAACTGTCATGTTTGACACTTATCCATACTTGACCTTGAGTAGGTTTTTAAATGGATTGATCTGTAGTTTCTTGTGAGGTTTCTGGACTCTGGTCCAAAACTTGGTTATAGAAGGGTCTAGTTGTCATGTCGGAAATCCATGAATTTACTTGTCATTTGCTTGGAAAATTGTTTATTTATGGAACTTGAGTGAATTAGTTTTAATTTTTCTGAAGTGCCCTTGCTAGTTTGTACAGTCTTTTTTTAAAAATTTATCAGATCGATGTTGATCTTATTTTATTAAGTAATTCTTGCATTTATGCATTTGTTTCCTGTTTATTCCATTTGCAGGGTGGAAATTCTATGGTCTTGTCAACAGCAGCTCAAACACCACTTGTAACTCAAGCTGCTGGTGTGATGCCAAACTCAATAGGTGTCACTCAACAGCCAATGCCTCATTTCCGCCAACCAGCTGGAGTTCATATACCACATTACCCTCCAAATTATCTTCCCTATGGCCATTATTTTCCTCCATTTTATGTCCCACCTCCTGCCATGCATCAGTTTCTTGGTAATCATCATGCATTTCCTCAGCAAGCTCAGCCTGGCAATGTATATCCAGCACAACCTGCTCCTGCGGTGGGCCCTACAGCAGTTAAATTTCCAATGTCTCAGTATAAGCCAGCAAGTAATACTGGGAACTCAATGCACATGGGTATAGGTGGAGGTTATGGACCATATGGGGCCTCACCAGTTGGTTACAGTCCTGTTTCAGCTTCTACAGCTGGAAATTCAACAGCAAATGAGGATCATGCTGCATCCCAGTATAAGGATAATAATATGTATATCACTGGGCAACAGGTTAGCTTATTCTTGCCATTTTATTTACCTTATTTCTTTCTATAATTGTTATATGACAAAACTTACCTGGTGATGTGTGTTAAAAGTGGTTTTGGGGGGGTCATGCATGGACAAGTTATACATCATCACTGGAGTCCATTGTAATGTCAGCTTTAAGCTATCTTTATATTCTCTTATTTAATTTATGCCACCCTTTTTTTTTTTTGGGGTTGCTGTTGTATCATTTTCTGTCTACACTGCCAGTCGTCGTTTTCTAATTAAACCTTAAAAGTTGTTTTTTTTAATTTTTTTTTAATTTTTTTATTTTTTTGGTATGCTCTGTATGCTTTTCCCTTATGTAGAACATAGTTGGAAACAAACTGAACATAGGGAGGGTTTACATTTTGTTCTGAATGCTTGTGCTGTTTTTAATTGGAACTTATGTTGGCTTGGCATCTTGTGTCAATTGAATAGGACTTTTAATTTATTTAATTTTTTTTTCCCCTTTGGGTGTTAATGTGCATGAGCTCAAGTGGTTAATATTTATATTCTTTCTATTTTGCCTTAACTACTTAATGTCCCTTTTTTTTTTGATCGGTTTTTATGTACACTACTATTTTTGGCTGTCTTGCATTTCTGGTGGTTGTGGGGTGATTTAAAATTCTATTGTGTTGCAGAGCGAAGGTTCAACTGTCTGGATTCCTGCACCAGGTCGTGACATTGCCAATTTACCAGCAAACTCTTTCTACAATCTTCCTCAAGGTCAGCATGTGACTTTTGCACCTACACAGGCTGGCCAAGGTACCTTTGCCGGCATCTACCATCCTGCTCAAGCAGTTACAGCAGCTAGTGTGCATCCCTTTCTACAACAATCCCAGGCCATGCCTGGGGCTGTTGATATGGCGGGTGCGACAGCTAATGTTTATCAACAATCTCAACATGCACAAATGAATTGGCCAAATAACTACTGATCTGGAGCGAGTGCTCTTTTCTTGTAAGCTCGACAAGATCTTTTGATGGTGGGAGTTCTCTGGGATTGATAATTGCTGAAAATATCAAAAAGATTATATGGGGGTTGTATGTGAGGACATAACATCATAAAAGCAGGCCGAAGGATTAGCCAAAGGTATCTTCTGGTGGTGCTAATAGCATAAAATTGGGGTATAGAATGACAATCTGCCATTGACTAAATATTACAAATTTTTAGCTAGCTTGGGGGGTGATATGAGCAGGTTTCTTTTTCATTCTGTTGGTATATGGTTTTCTGATCTTCCCCAGTCATATTTAAAGTTTTTGTTTTTTAAAAGAAAAAAATTCAAGTTTTGTATTAGAATTTACTTGAGTGACTGGCAAGGTATTTTTCGAAGTTTATGAAGGTTAGGATTTATAAAGAGAGGTCTAAGATGTAGGTTAGTTGGATTGGATTCCCCTTTTTCTCCATTTTCTTCTTTCTGTTCTCTTATCTGTAAAGTGAATTTTGTTGGGAAGAAGAGGATGTATTGAATGAACTGAAATTGTTGTATTTGGTATTAAGCAAAAGCAGCTCGCAATTGTCTCACTTGATTCTCTCTTGTTTCCTTGAATTTTCTAGTAGAGATTCTCTTTCATCTCATAAGCTGTCTGCACTTGCTGCCTGTGAAAGTATGTATTCGCGTAATGCAGGTTCTGTACTTTCCAGACATGTCTTTAGTAGATCTGGAGATCTAATCTAGTTGAGTTTTTTTTGTTTTGTTTTGTTTTTTTTTTTTTTTTTTCAATTTTCATTTTACATTGAAGACACGTTGGTTATGAGATATATTTATTGTCCTTATAAGTTGCAAAATCTTAGAACTTTCTTACCCAATCTTTATGAAGGTTATTGATGCTGTGCTATTGTACTTAACAGTTGGGTCTCGATTATGTAATGGATGTGGTAAGGTCCGAAGTCCTAACTATGTAATTTATGTAGTAGATGTGGTGATGGTTCTTTGTAAGTAAGCTAATGGGTTTGTAGGTTGTCATGTCGATCATTATTGTCTTGTTTGGCAATAAACACTCGGTTGCTGGCTGTTTTACATATTGGTAAAATTGGCAAAACGACTTTTAAACACCATTTATAAAAAAGGTAGAAGGCAACCATGATATCTACAATAGAGATGATTATCTGAAATGTGGTATTCCAAGTTACCAAGGATGTTTTTTCATGAATCATATTAGAAAACATAACATACATATTGACTTTTAATGACACCATCTTTAAGTCATCTCATTGATACACATTATTAAACAGAACATACAACTATAGTTTGGACATTATTAAAGAGGAATGGAGTCAAACTTCATTCATACACATTACATCCAAGATTTTCAGTAAATTGGATTCTAAGTTTGACACCGAATGTTCACTAGATAATCAATATCTTTTTCAGGTTAAAAAAAAAACGCAATGTGTTATTTTAAGTCTACCATAAATCTCATAAATAAAGATTGATGAAAACCTCTAAGGAAATGTGAAAATTGGGTGGAAAAGGGACAAAAAGACGAAAAAAGTCAACTCTTAAAAGTCAAACCCATATGAAATTCGACAAGTGACTTATGGGGAAGCCCCAATTATCTTTGTGATAAACAAAAAAGATTTATTTAGTGACATGAAAAAGTTGTTAATTTATCATGAACATAAATTTGTATTTTTTTTTTTATAATTTCTTCAACCTTTGTTTGTAAGATAATATTTTTTTTTGATTTAATACTTTGTTGTTTTTTTTTTTCGTTTTTTGGTTTTTCAATCAATATTTTAGAAAATTTGTTTTATTTTATCAATTTAAATTTAAAATTGGGAGGACAAAGTATATAAACCACATAGTGACAATGTGAACACTTTTCAAAAATTCCCCCATTTTCAGATTCGTGAGTCCCTCTTTCTCTTTCTCTCTCCTCCAGAGGGAAAGCAGAAATATCACTCTTTCTTCCTTTCCATGCACTTTCCTCCAATTTCCTTCTCCAATTCTTCAATTTCTTCCTCTTCACATGCTAATTTCACCAATAATCCAACTTTAGGGTTTCATCAATGGACTCGAAATCTCAGGGGAAGTTCAGCTATGGAAGACAGTCATCAATGGCGCCGGAACGTGAGGATGATTCCCCTAATTTGTTCGAGAACGTTGAGTTTGATGAGGAAGGAGTTAGACTGATGTTCTTGGCGAATGAGGGTGATTTGGAAGGGATTAATGAGGTTTTGGATTCTGGGATTGATGTTAATTTTAAAGATATTGATTCCAGAACTCCTCTTCATGTTGCTTCTTGTCAGGGCCTTCCTGATGTTGTTCGATTGTTGCTCGAACGCGGCGCGAAGGTTGATCCTAAGGATCGTTGGGGTAGCACTGTGAGTATAATTTTCCACTATTGACAAGTATTGTACTGTTTGTGTTTTTGGTTTTTTGAGATCATAGTGTGTTTTATATTTGATATAATTGTGCCAATTTATAGAATTGGGAGCTTATTGCTGTAGGTTTACCATAAATTTATTACTGGTATGATTTAAAAAGATTACTTTGCACTTGGTTGTGGCAATGGATCATAGTTTCATAGTTTGGTTGTGTACTTGTGTTAGTGTTATGAGGGAGAACTAGTGTGACATTTAGAACTTGGAATATAAAATCACGAGGGAGGTTCGTCCTATATTCAATCGATATTGTGTCCGCTTGGCTTACAATCTTACGTAGTACTCTCACTGTCCTTATTTATGAAAACATTGAGAAGTGACATGCTTATGAAGAAAACACATGTGGGATGGATAGAGATATACTACCTCCGTTAACTGTTATTTGCAACAAAGGGGGTAGCACGGAGTCCTAGGCAAAAGTTTTTAAACATGATTATTGAAATATAAGGGCATGTACTTAAGCACTGATCCAATTAAAAAAAAACCCACAATTAATCAGAACAACTAAACAACCAACCCCAGAACCCATAATCACCACCACCACCACCGAACCCACTGAAAACCCAGAACCCATCAAAAACCACCAACACCCACGAACCCAATGGAAACCTCCACCAAAACCCATCGGAAACCACCAAAACGCACCGAATAACACTAACCCACCAAATCCCAGCGAAAACCACCAAAACCCAACGAAAACAACCACCAAAACCCACCGAAAACAACCACCAAAACCCCGAAAGCCCCAGTTAAACCACCACCACCACCACGAATTGAATTAATTACAATTAAACCACCACCACCACCACGAATTGAATTAATTACAATTAAACCACCACCACCACGAAATCGAGCACCACGCCACCCATTACCCTACGAAACCCAACACCACGCCACCTACCACCCTCGGAAATCAACCACCACAAAACCTAGACCTAAACCCAGACCCAGAACCACCGACACCTAGATCCACCTTGGAAACCCACAAAACCTAGACCACCATCCAAGAAACTCGTGCCCCCACAACCACCACACCCACGAAACCCACGAGAGACTACCTCCGAATCTGGACATAAGATGGGGAAGATGAAGGAGGAGTGAGATTTTGATGATGAAGGAGGAGAGAGAAATTTGATGAATAAGATGAATGTTGAGAGATTTGATTTTTTTTGAAGATCTGATTTTTTTTTTTGTAAAGATTAGATGAGTTAAGAGGGTTATAATAGAGTATGGTTAGTGAAATGATTAAGGTAGTAAGTTGGTTAAGTGAGGGCAGTTTGGTCATTTCATACAAAAAAACTTACTAAAAGAGGGAAAAAAACATTTGTTGCAAATAATAGGTAGCATCCGTTTATGGCAAATGTTGCAAATAACCGTTAACGGAGGAAGTAGATAGAGATGGGTGGGAATCTTTCCTGCATGATAGGGAAAGGAGCGGGAGGCAACTTACTAGAGAATGTATGTTAATATTATCTTGAAACAAATAAAATTTAGGTATTGATACTCCCTCCGTCCCCTAATACAAAGCCTCATTTCCTTTTTGGTAAACCAAAATGCAATGTCTCTTTCTATTTAAAAGTTGTATTTTTTGACATTATTACCCTCTTTTTGACGAGTTGTCATTTTTTTTTCCGTTACGTTTTTGTATTTTTAACATCAATTTCCAACACTTTCTCTCTCTCTCTCTTCAATTATTCCCAACTACTTTTTCTTTCTCTCTATCTCTCTTTAACCCCACATGCACATATGTACTTTTAATCATTAGTTTTAAAGAATTTACAACTTTCTTAATTCCCGCGCAAAAATCAAAAGAATCTTTGTATTAGGGGACGGAGGGAGCACTAGATAAAAGACTTAAGGAGCTCTACTTTTAGTTTATTTTATCAGGCATTTAATGCTGTATTATGAATAACCATGATCCAACGAAAATGTGTGAGTACCTGGTATATGAGCCTGAAGTATTAATTTGGTCTTAGTTTGATAAAGCCTACTTGGCAATACGTGGAACGTGCCACTAGAAGTACTTGGCGATATCATATATCTTGAGAACTTATGGGAGACAAGAATCACACTGTACTTGACAAATATCTTCCCCCTCATTTATTAATGCTTACCTTTCTCTCAAGTAGAAATCCTCACTTCAAAACCCACATAATAGTATAGCATATTAGCATGCGGTATGCTAGCTTCACAAGTTGTTTATTTGATTAATTCCCAATAAATGTAGTTGCAAGAACCTCATGGTTCAATGGTGTGTAGGGCCTAAAGCCAAAGCATAAACATTTTATAACTTGTTTGACTATTATGATAGGCTATCACTGTGAAATTATGTCTGGAAGACACATTGAATGTGGTTTTCATGTTTGCTCATCCAATTTGAACCTTTCATTACGTAGTTGTCATGATTTCTATTTTGATTTCCCCCTTCATTTTAGGGGTCTTATGTTTGTTTTGGTTCATATCCACTGACTGGTGTTTATGCTATTGCCACCACACTATTGATTTGTAGCATGTTTCTTTTTACTCCATCTAGTGGCCTTTCAGCAGGTTGTTAGTGTAATTTACAGTGTTTGGTACTTTGGTCCTTATGGGAGTTAATTGCTGAACACCACCAAACTTACATCATGCTTTGATTATAATGCAAAAACCTCCTTTTTTCTAACCCATCCTTCTGGATCATTCCAATTTTTATGGAGTAATTTGGCTGGGTAGGTATTACCATTACTTAAATAAAATCTATTTAAATCCAGTCCAATGTAGGTTTTGTAAAGTTTGGTTTTGTTTTGCTCTTGTACAATCTCTTTGGAATACAATTTGGTTAAGTAATACTTTGGATAATTGTACTTGAATAATAACAAAATTTTTAAGTCACCTATTAAAATAGATTAATTCATTTATATATTATTTTGTGTGTAATGATTTAATGATTTAATACTTCCTCTGTTTATGTTTACTTGCAAGTTGCAACATTTTTACTTATGCACTATTCATATACTTCATTTTAACTAGCTTTGATATGTATAATTAAGGATAAATATAGTCATGTGATGTCTTGTTATATTTTCCTCAATTTATACTTTCACAATATTAAATTTATATCAATTTTACAGATTGGTAATTAAAGATATTAGTGATTGACATAATGCATTGACAAACGTGAAATGAGAGTTGTTGCAAGTAAATAAAATTTAAAAAACTGAGGAAGTAGTAATTACTTTGTAATTTTAGACTCAATGTTCTTTAATAAATAAGGAAAAGTGATCTTTGTTCCTATATTGGTCCTTTACTCACACGTGTAATGGAATGTTCCATGTTGTTGGCAATATTGTGACGGGGCATAGACTGTATTGTCATCAAATGCACCATTGAAAGAAATAAAAAAAATATTGTTGGTATTTTCTGAAATTATTTCCCTTGAATATACTTTGCAATAAAGAACATGAGAAATTGGATGAGATTAATTATTTTGTTAAACTCACTTTTTTTCCTCCAATTTTAAACAGCCACTTGCAGATGCAAAATATTACAAACATCTAGATGTAATCAAGCTTTTGGAGAAACATGGTGCAAAGGTAAGTCTTGATGTTAATCTGCATTTGGTGCTCTATTTTGTTGTCCTCTTTCTGTATCTGTTGACCATTTTAGTTTTGTCTGTGGGTCTTTTTTCCCCCTATCCCCATTGACATCCTGTTCAATTCTGTATAGGTGGATTCTCCTGAAATCCCTGAATATGAGATTGATCCCAGTGAGCTCGACTTTTCCAACAGTGTTGACATTTCTAAGGTTACTTGGTGAATTCACTCTTTCTTATGGAGATTGTTTTCCTAGTTTTTTCCATTTTGCTTAATTATGTTTATTTATTTATTACATATATTACTGTTTTAGTGACTGTCTGGTTTATTACAAAGCTTAGGAAACTTCAAGACCAGGGAGCCGAGAGTGGGAAAGGGGAGGGAGGTGGGCAGCGTGGGTGGGGGAAAGGGAGGGGGTTGGGGTTGCCGGCGTCAGGGGATTGTTTGGGCGCCGGCAGCTGGCACGGGGAGGGGTGGCTGACGGGGAGGGGGAGCAGTGGCTGGATTTTTTTTTTTTAAAAATTAAATCATTAATTAATGAGATAATGGGTCCCACTTAACGGAACCCTTACAGATTCTGTTAAATGGTATCAAGAACTATATTTTGTAACTTTTGGTGGTAGCAAAATAAAATAAAATTTTAGATAGGTAGCAAAAGTCAAAATAGAGTGTTTTGGTGGTAGTAAAACTCAAAATTTCGTTTTTAAAATTTATTTTGTAAATTTTTTGTATACTTTTCCACCTTATTTTTTTCCTCCCATTTTGTCCCCATCAGGGGCCGGTAAAGGTCCGGGCCTGCTTTATTTAAATACATCCCTTGCATCCTACAGTGTAACATCTAAAAAGTACTCCTACAACCTAAAATTACTAATTGTAGCTGCTGAATTTGCCCAAATCATGCGCTTATGCTTATGTGTTCTTTCAATCACCTTAATCACCTTACTGTTGCCTGCATTCCCATGCAAACCAAGACATTCTCAATGCACCAAATACTCAACTAGCTGCTTCCAATCTCCACATATTTGTCAAAACCTGTAAGAATATGTTCAAATAAACAGCTCCTTTCAAATGCCTTTGAAAAATTGAAGAATTCTATTAAATAACAAAGCAAGTTTAACTCTTGCTCTTGGATCAAAATCCTTGAATCACCAAAGTTCTTTGACATGAAAATTCAGAATATTGATGGCTCGAGATGCTTTAACAGCTGAAGAGCTCATTAGCCGGGAGATGATGCCAACCACATTTAACTGCTTTATGTAGTGAACTTGAATTTTTTTGGTAACATTGAGCGGTAGGGATCAGTTTGGCTCATGTCATGGGATGTGACAAAGTTTTACATTGGCTGTCACTGGCGTACCGAAATCCTCCTCCTTTATCCAGGCTTGGGACTACCAGCGGGAAAACCCACAAAGACCTAGGACCATGAGTGAATGTTTTAAGTATTTTGGATCGATCATCCAGAAAAATGGTGACATTGATCAAGACGTGGCCCACAGGATTAAGTCGGGGTGGCTTTAATGGAGAGCGGCAACAGGAGTCTTATGTGACCGAAGCATCCCCTTACAGTTGGAGGAAAAATTCTACAGGACTGCCATAAGACCAGTGTTGTTCTATGGTACAAAATGTTGGAATTCTAAAAAGGAGTACATTAAAAAGATGGAGGTTACGGAAATGTGCATGTTAAGGTGGATGTGTGGAAACACTCAAAGAGATAGAATCAGAAATGAGGTTATTTGCAAGAAAGTAGGTATGGTAGGCATTGCAGACAAACTAAGGGAAAATTGCTTGCGTTGGTTTGGGTATGTAAGACGGATTCCCGAGGGTGCACCGGTTCGAAGAGTGGAAGAGTGGGAACATGGAGGGGTTAAACGAGGGACAGGGAGACCAAAAATGACTTGGTTGGAAGGAGTTAGGAAGGATATGAAGTATATGGATTTGCATGAGGATGAAGCATTGGATCGTAAGGGATGGAGGAGGAAGATTTATGAAGTACACGGAATAATCAAATTTGGTTCATGTAGCCGACCCCACTTATGGGATTAAGGCTTTGATTGATTGATTGAGCGGTAGGGATGAATTTCAGCAGGTTGCATGACTGATTAAAATAGTGCTAAAATCTTCATTTTTTTGTGTGTTTACTATGAAACTATGAAATCATATTAAATTATCTTTCATGTCCTAGGTCTGAAGCTCATATTTTAGTCTTTTCATAAATCTGTCAAAATGATCTTAGATGGACTTTGTTGCCTCACTTGCCTGAAGCTGAACTTATCTGAAGTTTGCTTCACCTTTCCCTTGGTAGCATACTAACATTAATGCCATACCTACGACAACCTTCCACCACCCCAAAAAAAAAAAAAGAAACGGAAAGAAAGAACAGGTAAAATAAAAATTTTCTCCTAAGATAAAGAATAGTTTCGTTTTCATGTTCTTATACTCTGTTTGAGACAATTTGTAAAATGGTTGGGACCTTTTATTGGCTGCTTTCCTAGCTAGTGTAGTACTCCCTCCGTCCTTTTATTAGAGACCCATTTCTCTTTATTATGCTAGTAATAAATGTTAGAAATAGGTCTCCTAATTTAGGGACGGAGGGAGTATTTTTTTTCCCTTCTTTTTGTTGCTTTTTGAGAGGATTTGAAGTTATAATGTTAAATTAAGTGAAAATGATCTAGCTCTATATCAAGTTATACTACATTTTTTATTTATTTTAGATTGCAGTATGTTCTCATCGTTTTTCTTATAGTAAGGCACATATAGTTTTGGTGTCAAATTATTTTGGTTATGTTGCTTGGACTCTCAGCATTATCATTCCCTTGTTCATCAATATCAGGGTACTTACCGCATTGCATTGTGGCGTGGGATTGAAGTTGCTGTAAAAACACTTGGAATTGACGTGGTGATGGATGAAGAAAAAGTGTGAGTTGACCCTATATCTTATTTATTTCTCTTCTGATTTAATTTTGTTAGTCTCTGATTAATTTTAATTTTTGTCCTTGGCTTGTAGAAAAGCATTTACAGATGAGTTAGCGTTACTCCAAAAGATACGCCATCCAAATGTTGTACAATTCTTGGGAGCTGTGACACAGAATAGCCCAATGATGATTATAACAGAGTACTTGCCTAAGGTCTTCTTTTCCAAATGAGATAATACATTAAAATATGCTGTCTGGTTTATGATGAAACAGTTAAAGCTTGATGTTATGCTTTAAATATATTCTACCTACTTTTTTTTGAGCTTTACTCACTTTCAGTGTTCTTCACTCTTCTTCCTATTTGTTAAGCTCATTTCTACCCCTTGTATGTCTTTTGCTCATAATTCTGAAACAATCTCTTGTTTTAAAGTATACTTCTCTCTCTCTCTCTCTCTCTCTCTCTCTTTGTTGTTGAATTTTATTTTATTTTTTTTAAATTTTATTTTTTGCAGTTGTCCCTTATTAATCCTTGGTAATATTAAGCATTCACATACCCCACTTTGACCATCTTTGCTAATCTTTACACTAGGAATACTTTGTTCCTGTTATGAGTTGCACTCATTTATCATTTTTCTAGCATCTGTTGTTAGGATTCATGCCAGCATGGTTTTAGTTGGAGCATAGATGTTATCACTTAGTTAGAAAGAGGTTTAGGTTTGGAATCTAGTGTCTCGAAATGTCTTCTGTTAGGATGAATGGAGGTTTGCTTTGGAGCCTAATTTCCTTTACAACAATAAGCAAGGAGGGTCTTTAAAAGAACTAATGGGATGTATTAACAGGGAATCATGTCTCTTGTATTACTCCTAGGTAATTTATGCAAGTCTCTTTCTTTTCTTTCATGGTAAGTTTTAAATTGGAGCCATTTGGCTTATGGTGAAAAAATTATGGCTGGGCAATATCCTTTTTTGTTTCTTTCCCTGTCTTTACCAACTCCTTTTTGTTTACATCATGGCATTATGGGTTCTTTCATGATTAGAGAGGTCAGGTATTTAGGCCCTATTCTCTTCACCTTGATTTTTCTGAATTGAAATTATTTTTTACTGAACTAAAATTATTTTTGTTAAACTTAAATTTTTTTTTTCTTTGATTCTCTATTATATTTGCTCTTTAAAGTTATTGATTTTTACTGAGTAAAACTTATTTAACTTATTTTTACTAAACTGAAAATATTTTTTGTGAATATTATTTGAATAAGTTGAAGAGAACATGGCTTTAGTCCGAGTCTTCAGAGTAGATGTGTTGTGCTCTGAAATTATTGTTGGTCAAATCGAAGAGTTCAATGGCTGAATATGCATGGTGCATTTTCTTGTAAGCTTCTTGTACACTCTCGCAAACTACTTGATGTTTTACCCTTCTGAATTGTTTGAAAATGAAATTCAAAGGTTAGAAAAAGGCGATTTTTTAATTCTGGACTAAAGTTTTTTGCACGAGGTTCATACTAATGATAGTCAAATTGAGACCTTTCCCCCAACTGTATGTGCTTTGTGCTAACAAGTGGTAACCCTAAAACCCAGAAACCACTTATCTTTGCATTCTGATTTGGTTGTTTGGATTATTCTTTGTGTCTTGTGATATTGTGAAGATGGAATGAGTTGGTATATCTTCTACATTGAGTTTGAATAAGATGTAGTGGCCTTTTTGCATGCATTGCTGTTTGTAAGAGATGTGGTAAGGCTCTTTGTGGGAAAAAATTATTTTATACTTCCTTCATTCTATTGTACCCATGTTTTTTTTTTTTTTTTTTTTTTTTTATGGTGAATAGTCAGTTTTACCCATACTTTTATTCTCTCTTCTCATATGAGAGCGATCTCTCTCCTCTCCCACCAGTCACACCCAATTAACAGACCATCATCCAATTTCTCTCTCTTTCCATCCATTGCACCATACCTTGTTCCTCACTACCACCACCACCTCCTCCACTCGTCATCTCTTTCTCTCTCCTCCCTCCACCACATTGTACCATTGCACCACCACTACATATAACTCCTCTTTTGCATCAACACATCAAAACCCTCATCATCACCATCACCACGAGATAGAATTAAGATCTTGATTTCGTCGCTCTATTGGAGGCTTACATCGCAGACCCATGTTGATTGATTTCATCAATCTACTGGAGGCTTACATTGCAGACCCATGTCAGTGGATTTCGTCGATCTATATGAGGCTCACATCGCATCAGTCATTCCTCTTTTGATTCCGTCAAAATGACTAGTAATTTTGTTGTCTCTCGCACAATATCTTTTATATATATATATATATATATATATATATATATATATATATATATATATATATATATTACTTTATTGGGAATTTGGGGTGATTGTTGATTAGGAGAATGAAAGAACATTTGGGGATTGAAGTTTAAGGGGAGAGGAGATAAGGTATGTCTGAGGTGAAGAAAAAGATGGTGACCAAGGTGGTTTATAATGGCTGAGTGGATGAAGGTTTGATGGTGGTGAGCAGTGAAAGTGGCTGGCTGTTTAGTCGGATGCTCAGATCAATTGGCCAAGAAGAAAAGTTTAAGGAGAAGGGTAGGAGGGTAGGGATGAGTAAGGGTATTTTTGTCTTTAGCATATCTTTCCCACTAATCCTTAATTTGTGTGCTAAAAAGAAACACGTCAACTAATAAAAAACGGAGGAAGTAGTTTCTTTGTATTGACATTCATGATTCAAGGACCTTTCCAGGATATTCTTTATTTGATGTGCCATATGGCATGCATCTTAAATCACCAGTTTCTAGAAGGCTACTTGTCTTCTTTTGATATAGCTGCATACTTTATTGTATTATTTTACATTTTCTTTATTTGAAATAAAACAAACATTTACAGTTTGCTTGTTCTGTATGTAGGGGGATCTTCGTGCTTTTCTGAAACGGAAAGGTGCTCTAAAGCCGTTAACTACGGTGAAGTTCGCTCTCGATATTGCAAGGTGGCTTCTCCTGTCTGCATATGAAATCGAACTACAATATGTTTTTGTTCATACTTTTCTGTTTCATGTGCATGATACTCAATGAACAGCGAAATAGAGAGAGCAGACAAAAGATTCTAAGCTATTTCTCACTTTGTGCACCTTCCTATGTTTCTTCAATGCATCAGTAGTCCTTAAGGTTTTTATATTGTTATCATGGTCTATGGCATGTGAGTAACTTGTGATGAGCATAAAAGAAAGAATTAAAACAGAATGTATATCTTGATATTTTGCACTTCTCCCTTTATTAGTAGAAGCATTGGGAGTTTGGGATCAATGTAGCGTTGCTGGCACAGGCTTAGCTGAACCAAGTTCAAGGCTAGCTTTGACTGAGCTATAGGTCTGATTTGTTCCAGTCCTTTCTCCTTAGCACTCTAATTCTATTTCTGTCTACTGGTCAACACCTTCAAAGTATTGGAGTGCAATCTGTGGTCTTTAATCAATATAAATCAATGACTTTGATTTTTTCCACTTCCAAAGTATTTTCTTTTCCCAACAGGGAGGTGCTGGCTTGGAAAGCTGAGTGTGAGGAAGGTTGTGTGGATTGCAATTATGTGGAAGGATGGTCAATTATTTGGATTGTGTATGTTTGTTTGTGTTTTGCGCTCTTTAGACTGCAAATTTATTATATACGAATACTCTTTGGTCTGGACTAGGAAAAAAAAAAAAAAAAAAAGACACCAATCATCTTATTTTACTTGGGTGGTGTGCTGTGGATTATGCTGTGAAGATTAGTAGTTTTAGGGCTGAATCCTATGTTAGTCAGACACGGCTAATATCGCGAAGTGTCCGTGTCGACACGACACTTCACGGACACGGGACACGTGTCCGATCCTTCACTGTGCACTCGGACACTTCCATTAAGAGAGGAGAGGAAAAAAGAGAAGAAACATGAAAGAAAAACATATCTTGTTCGAAAACCACCATTAGGAGAATTTACCGAGGAAAGAATTATAATAAAAAAATATGGGTAGACATAATGAAAAATTTAAAACTTTTGTAATATATAATTTATTTATATAAATTTAAGTGACGTATTGACGTGTCCTCGTACCCGTGTCCAAATATCGGACAGAGTCCCCGTGTCCTAAAATTTTGGAACTTGCCGGATCGGACACTTGGACATGTGTCCGTGTCCGACATCCGTTCCCGAGTCCATGTAACATAGGCTGAATCTATCATTGTAGATTTGCTGCTCTCCAATCCAAACAGGCTAAGTGGGAGCTGTGTCAGACTATGTAATGTCTTTAATTGAATGTAGGTTTAATAGAGCTATTTAGGCTTCCGTAATCTTAAACTGAATAAAAAGATGCCTTTAGGTTTACATTTGTTTATTCTTTACGCTTCCTCTTGTGTGCTTTTTATTGTTTAAAAGTTTGATTCAGGAAAATAAAGTTCAAGATCTTTTTAGGTAGGCTCTGAAACTGCATAATTGATTTGGTGAAGCTTTCATTGATATGATGAGCATGCAATTTGCTTTAGATTTGAAAGACTATTATATTGCAGGGGAATGAATTACTTGCACGAAAATAGACCAGCAATTATACACCGAGATCTTGAGCCTTCGTATGTCTTTCTAACTTGTTCTCTATTATCTTGACTTTCATTTTCAAGTTGTTATTTTAAAGAATGTGAAGCTATGCGTATTGGAAGCATTCTTACTCTGTATTGGTTAAGATCGCAGTAATATACTGCGGGACGATTCTGGGCATCTGAAAGTTGCAGATTTTGGTGTGAGCAAGCTGCTGAAAGTCTCGACAACGGTTAGAGAACATGAGCCTCTGTGGTGTCAAGAATTCTCATGTGAGTCTTCTACCTTTAAATTTGTTTCTGGTTATCAATATTCTGCTATATTCTTATATTTGGAAATTAATGTCTTTAGTTGTGTATTGTATGATGATGTCTCTACTTATTGATATATGTCATTATGATCTTATGAAGGATTTACTGCTTTTATCATCTGATGCAAATATTGAATATGAATATCTGGTAATGTATACATAAAGTTTCTCCAAAAATGGGATTCGAGAGAAAGACGAGAAATAGAGGACCACCAGAAAGGCTAAATAATGAGCGAGGTTGTGGAAAAGTAGCTGAAATATGCATAGGGAGTTGGGTGCTTTCAAATTATAACACCTAATATATTAAGATTTTCATAGCTGAATTATGACTTTCATTTTTGGAATACACGTAAAGCGATAAGGGTATGAATCCTTTGTTGGACATTTCACTTCTCACTAGGACCCTTCAATCATCCTAATGCACATGTTGGTAGAGAATTTGAATTGAGAAGAGAATCAATGCAATATGTGCTGGCAAGTGTGGCTGTAGATGAGTTTTAAACAGGAAAAAGAATTTGATAAACCAATTTCCCTGTAATGTTTGTGGGTATCTAGCAGTTATTTAGAAGGCACATGCAAAAGCCTTTTGAAAAAGGATTGCTTATGTTAGGTTAGTACCCCAGTGTCCAGAATTTTGAGTCAAACACTCAGATATATACCTGGCTCTTGGGCTCATGTATGGATAATGTAGGCTGAGAGAGGTTGTTTGAGAGACCTACAAAATTATGTACATTTTTGAAAATTATTGAACTTAGAGAAATCGTTTTTCAAAATATCGAATTAATGTTCCTCTCTCTCTCTCTCTCTCTCTCTCTCGCTCTTGTGGAAGCAAAGGATTATAAATAGTTTATAATAAAATCTCTATCAAAGTGCTTCACACAAGGGAGTAGGAAAAGAGAAATCTGGGAGGTTGGTAATTTGGAAACTTGGAATACATGAACCACTTTGACAAAAAATTCTGAAAGAGGATCCACTACTACTTTCTACTTTTGTTTGAAAAGATGTCCTCGGGAAAATGGCCCTCTCCTACCAAATTTTTGCCAAAATCTGTTTGAGGTACCTCCTTTTCTGTTACAATTTATTAGTCGATTTTGTACTCGTGCATATAACGTGCTTCCCTTAAAGTGCCTGAATAATCAATATATTATCTGAAATGAATTTGCTTTTCCCTTGTAGTTAGATTGCATATTTGTTTAAGTATTTTCATCTCTGCTGCTATTATTGTCAATGAATTGAATTTCATAAAAATATGGACTCCTGGACTTATAAATGAATGGAAATAAAAGAGGTACTAGGTAATTAATTGTTCTTTTTCCCCCCTATTGTAACCCATTTCTCAAAACTTATGCTGGTTGTTCTGGCAGGGAGATATGTGGCTCCAGAGGTTTTTAAGAAAGAGGAATATGACACAAAAGTTGACGTTTTTTCATTTGCCTTGATAATTCAAGAAGTAAGATTCTAGCTTTTCCTTCACATATCTTTCATTGTTTCTGAGATGCTGGTACTCTAATTGGTTGGTCTGTCTAGAGTTTTAGGATCAGTGTGTCTGATTGAATGGAGTTTAGGAGTTGCTTGCATCACAACCTTATTTTTTAATAAAAAAATCATTTATTTAATTTATATTTTCAAGATGCTAACTTTTATTATTTTTACATATTGGTAATTAAGATATAAATGATATAGGTTATGCATTGGCAGACGTGATATATAAACGTGTCAACTAAAAAAGAACAGAGGAAGTTTTGCTCTCTATGTTTGCTAGGCCTATAGTATCCTAGGATATTCCCAAATTTTATGCAAGATTTCAACTTACGTGACACTAGAAACTTTTACTCATACGTGCTCTTCTTTTTTGAAAAGTGGAAAAGTCATATTAAAGAAACCATCTTTCTGGAGTTGACATGACATCATTCTTAGAGGAGGTCATACAAAGATAATAAGGCTATTTTTTCCTCAACCTATAAATCTGAATTACAATCCTTGACATGAGGAAAACTATTATACACCTGCTAATTAAAAAGAATAGCACAGCAACAGCCCTGTTAAATGTAGGAAATAAATTCCTAACTCCTGTCCTCTTATCCACATCGGCATTAATTCCAATTCTGTAGGTACCAACTTCCTAGTTCCTACTATTTCTGTCTCGCTATAACTCTTCTTTTTGATAGCTACTATTTTATGGAGTCTTGTTTGAGAGTTTGAAACTCCATTTTCTACCTTGAATCTTTTGGCAGGCATACAATCAAGATTTGATGACTAAAATTACTTTAAAATATACTCCCCTCGTATTTTATTGCTTGCTCCATTTCTCCGGACACGGAGTTTTAGGAGGAATAGTAGAAAGTATTATTTTATGTGGAAGTGGGGTTAGTTGAAGAATAAAAATTCTGAAAAAACAAAAGTGAGTATAAGTGGGGAGGAGAGATAATATGAAAAATATTGGAATATGATATGAGGGGACCACTAGTAGGAAGGAAAATAGTAAAATATTGTTAAATGTTTCCAAAAAGGAAATGGAGCAAGTAATAAATATGGCCGCAAAAGGAAAGTGGAGCAAGTAATAAAATACGGAGGGAGTAGGTTTTTGTAGTCTTCTTTAAGTAAATAAAGACCTTCCATCGAATGTAATTCCTCTGTACCTTTGCATCTCACCTATGCTGCTGCACAATATTTGTTTCACGTTTAGCCAAGTCTGAAGAAATGTGTTGGCCTGCTAAACGGCTTAGATTAAGGCTATGCCTGTTGATATTATGATGATCAGTACTGCAAAACAAACCTCACTTGCTTAATATTCTAAAACTCCATGCACAACCTAGTGTAGCACTTGAAAAAGCCAAGGAGTACTTTTTAATGTAAAAGTTAATGCAGTGGGGGAAATTTTATCATGTGAAAGCTGATGCAGTGAGTAAAATTTTATATTCCATGTGAGAGGATATTTACCTTATTATTTTTACACACTTTCTACTAATTTGTTAGGCATACAAGGAGAGAGAGAGAGAGAGACAACAGCAACACCAAAACTTTATATTTGAAAGGATGGTCTCAGATGCATAAACCTAGAATACAGCATCCAAGAATATCTCTTGTAGTTATCCAGAAAAATCCGCTTCCTCCATTTGCATCTTTAGTGAGGTATGCAAGAGTAGATAGAAATAATTAGATATTGGTGGGACTTGGTCAAATTAGGGCCATGCTTGGATTGGGGGTAATATATTAAGGGGGTAATAAAAGCCAAACTTGAAATAACACAAGTAATTAGTGGGGTTATTGTAGGAGACAATGTGTTTACAAATGAAATAAAGTAGTTGTGCCATAAGAAAAAGAGAGAGATGGAGGAATTATTATCCTCATAACGAGGGTAATAGTTACCCAGCCTCCCCCTAGTGTAACTATTACTCCCAAAATGAGGGTATTAATTCTTCTTTTTTCACATCATACCACACTATCACTACATAATTTTCCTTACAATCACAACATCACTATCTCCTCTTTCCCTATATTCACTTTCATTTTGCTTAGTTTGACTTTTATTACCCTAGTAATACATCTCCCTCAATCCAAGCATGCCCTAGGAAGTTACGTAATTAATAGGAAATAGATGGACATTGGAAGTTGTGATTTTAAAATAGAGAGAGTAATATAAAGCTTTTATTAAAAGTTTGACTATTTCTTGATTATAGTTATTTGTTCTCTTTGCCAAATGCTGACAATTGGAATAGGTAGGTTATATTTACTTGAGGCTTGTCTTGTGGGCTGGGGGATAGGTTGCTTGGTTTACTTTGAAGCTTAGCCTTTTTCTCATAAAAACAAAATCATGTTTTGAATGATATTAAGGGCATTAAAGCATAATGTCCATTTAATTGATTGATTTTGTGCGGTACACCCAATTCCTGGTGGTGCATTTGTTTTTGCATATCAGAATGTAGAACTTTCACATATCTTGCATTAGCGTTGTGATTGATGGAATGGATTATATGATTAGTGAAATGCATGCCACACTGTAGGCCCACACATTTTTATTAATTGGTTCTTTGGTACATCGTTGACTAAGGTTTTGTCTTCTTATGTATTATATTCTTTAGTTGTAAAAGCCTATGAGCAAATTATGTCCTCTAAACATATGCTTTAGTGTCTATGAGATGATTAATTGTCATACATTTGTTGAATTCATCCCTAGCTACAATAGATTTTGGCGACTGTGCCTTTCTAAACATTTAACGTGTTACTCCCTCCATTTTAAAATAAGTGCATCACTTGTCTATGCACAAAGTTTTAGGCCAATGAATTAAAGTGAGTATTCTAGTATGCAAGTGGGTGAAGTTGAGGATTATTATCTTGATAAAAGGTTAGTGGGGAATATTTTATTCACACATAAAGGTAGTGTGAGTATACATGTGGGGAGTTGGGGACCATGAGAGAGATAGAAAACATATAAAATAGCATGTGAAGTTAGTAGGATGGAAGAGAAATAATGTAATAGATGAATATTTCATTTAGGGAAGTGATGCACTAATTTAAAAATGGAGGGAGTAGCAAAGAGCCTATAATAACCTTCCGCAAAGACTTATCTAGTTCCCTAATTCTCTACGGCTTCACCACATATAGCTAAACTGAACCCTATATTGCTTTCATGACGCCACGTGAGAGCGATATACTTTAAGATCATCTGGTAAGAGTGAGTTTCCATTCTCAAATAGCTGACATACTTGTTTAGCTATCAATACTTCATTCAACACTCCATCATCCTTTATGTGTAACTTTTGGATCTCCACCATCTATTGAACACGATTTACCTTCCCACAACATGTAAATTTCATCCGTTAAACTATTTTCCTTTGATCCAATCCTTTAACGAAAGAAATAACTGCTTTACAAAATGACCCATATGTGCTGGAAACCTTGGCACTTGCTGTAGTTTATTTATGAATCGTGACCTGTATTTGATGTCTTTGTATTCATGGTGCTCCTTTTTTGAGCTCAACTTAGGTGGGCCATTAATCTATGTCTGTATCTAGAGAAACCGGTGTTTTTAACAAAAGTTGGCTATATGAATCACTTGATCCTTCCAAGCGTCCCTATGGTGTGTAAAGAGTCTGACCTAAACCTTGCGAGCTTGATTGTTGGAATTTGCCAAATGAAGATGTGTGCTTTTCCACAGAGCTAATGAATTGTTATTCTCATGAATTCATGATGTATTTTGGGGACCCTGTATCACCTAGGTGTTGCATCAGCCCCATTTGAGATGTATGGGTGTGTATCAGCCATATTGGTTCTGTATAGGCTGTATTGGTTGATGTTAAATGCATGTTATAACTACATAACTATCAGTTCAATCTAATAAATCTACTGAAGTTCAGATTTATTATGATGGCTTATGATGTGGACTGTTATTTCCATCTAAAATTGTTGGACTCGTTATTTATACTTTAGACTTGTGGTTGTGGAGGTTTTTTTATTTATTTTTTTTATATCATTTACATTCATAAATTTCAGTTTCTTATTGACTTTTGGTTTACTGTCATGTGTGTCTTCAGATGATCGAAGGATGCCCTCCCTTTGAATCAAAGCAAGAAGAGGAAGTAGCTAAGGCATATTGTTCAAATGAACGCCCACCATTTACAGCTCCAGCCAAATATTATGCTCTTGGATTAAAAGAGTAAGTTTCCAGGTTTTATTCTCTTTTTATTAATAAGTTGGAGGAGAGCTGCTGCAGTTTTTGTCTTCCTTATTCCTGTAAGATTGTGGCTAAGTTCTAAAGAAGTTACTACTTTACTAATATCAAAACATGGTGGCAAGTGTTAGATATGCATCTGTTAATTTTTTGCAGTGCTTGGCTGAATTTCTGTTAAATCTTTTGTACATATCATCTAATGCAATGTATGACCAGAAATTTTGTTTGATGATAAGATTGATAACTATGCTTATATCCTATAATTTTAATTAAACTATTGAAGATTATCTCTCTTGTGATAGGTATTAGGTTGATTTAATCTATGTCTGAAAGTATCTGGTATATATATATGTATCAGTAAAGGTGTATAGGCGTGTAGTTCAGTGCTTATAATATTCAAACCAGCCAGATCAACTTAAATAAAAATTTGACACCCATGTCTTAAGGTGAAGAGAACACAGGGCTTATTAGGCAGGAATTAAAATGCCTTTGTATCCCTTTATCTTGTAATTTCGACTGGCAATGAATGAAGGGGCAATATTCGGTATAATCTTTGTTTGGGTAAAATTGGAGATTAGGGGTGATCCTGCACATGTAAAGGCTTCATGCGAGGGAAGCTTGAAGCTGATTGAAATTGATACTGAAGTTCCCATGGGGAGTTTATTTCGTAACAAAGGCGTGTGTAGTGTATGTGACCACACATGCTGCATTGACATATGGTTGCATAAACAGTAATTTGTTTTTTGGCTCTTCTTTATTTGCTTTTCATGGCTATTAGATTACTCTAGAATATTACATTTGAGATTTGTTCTTGCATGTATGTTCTTCTTTGTAATTTTATCTTAAGGGTATAGACTACTGGATATCCAGCATAGCAGGGCGCATACAGTGATTTTTTGCTGAAGATAATTAGCTTATTCAATATTTTAATGTATAGTCTACTGTGCTGACTTGAATATACTTTGCAGATTGATCGAGCACTGCTGGAATGATAAACCAATGAAGAGGCCAACATTCAGACAAATAATAAGTAGGCTGGAGGTTATTGAAAATGTATTGGATCGTAAGAGACGCTGGAAGGTGAGTTATTTAATACTATGATTGCTAGTATCTTTGCTATACTCTAAGTTTTTAAAATCGAAAATGAATCAAGGGCTTAATAATATTGCATCTTCAAATGCTGCAAGAAATGTAGGTCAATTTTTTCAGCGGCAAGTAAAATAAAGAATTTTATTACCAATAAAGAGCATTACAACCAAACCACCATTACAAAGAAATCACAAGAATAAAAAATGCAATAGCACTAATAAACTCCTACCTGCGGTTGTGCAGCCTTTTTTCAATCCCACTCGTACCTTCTAGGAAGGGCAGAGAATAAAAGTCATCATATGCAAACAACTAAGAACAATAACCTCTGACAATCTTTAGCTCTACATGCAACTGTAAAACAAATTCTATGAAAACTGCAGTTGGAGCTTCACATTTAACATTGAATGCCTTCCCGTTCCTCTGAATTCAGATTTGATGAATTTTCTCTGCAGAGAACAAGTACAGCCTATGGTTGTCACCATTTCTCTTCCCAGCTTTCTCTGCCCAAGCAACCTCCTTAGAACTAGCAGCAGGTCTATGAAAACTCAGCATACCCAGAACCTGAGACCAAACAGTAGCTGAGTAGGAACATTTGAAAAATAAATGTTCAACAGATTCTGGTCAGAACCACAAAGACCACACATATCACTTGCAACTACTTTCCTCTTCAACAGTTTAATTAATAGATTCAAGCCAAGCACAATCTCACAACAGAGTATAAGCAATAGAACAGTAAGATAGAGAAGACTGATTGAGGCTTTGATTAACAAAACAACGGTTTACACAATCGATAGGTTTAGCCTATCAAGCTCTATAGTGACTTGAGGTCACAACTCTCACAAGGATTCACTCCCAAATTCTGCCTACCTTTTTCCTTTCTCTCTGTCTCTATTTATACTAACACTAAGTACTATTTACCTAATAATACTAGACTAGCCATATTGCCCCTCCTTGTGTTAGTTTATTACAAACAACTTATCACGAGTCAAGAGCCTTTTCAATAGAGCCAACCAAGTAATAAATTTACTCCTTGGAGTTGCTTTATTGAGAATAAGAATTCTGAACCAAGGACTTTTTGGAAAGGAACATCTTATCTTCTTACATGTCTCCTTGATAGAGAATTGACCTTTCTTAATCAAATAATCCCAACCACCAGCAATCGCAAGACATTCCTTAGCCTTGAAAACTTTTTTGAGGGACCAAGACATATTAACAGGACAAACAAAGCTATCAATGCTCCTGCCTTTGATATAATAACTAGCAACCCATCTACTCCAAAGTCTATACCTCTTATGGGAAATAGCCCAAAGAAGCTTGGTGACAGATAATCATATCCTTCATTCCTTCACATTGCTACCTCCACCAACCCCAGGAAGACAATGTCTTTCCAATCAACAAAGAGCCTTCCTAGAAGAACAAATAGTACCAGTCCAAAGAAAGCAAACACCCTGAATTTCTCTGATAATTTTTTTGGGCAGAATGAAAATCTGGCACCAAAAGGACTGCAAACTGAGCAGAATAGCCTTACTAAGTTGCAATCTACCTGCATGAGAGAGGTGTCTAGCAGTCCAAGACTGAGCTCTACAGTCACTCAAGACAAAATACAAACTTGAGAGAGGATCTTCTCAAGTTTTGCATTGATTATAATGAAGCTTCTTGCTGGATAAAGGAACACCTAAATATCTTAAAGGATAATCACCAATGGAAATATGAAGACCAAAATACAAACTACACTTGTCAAGATTAGCCTCAAGACCAGAAGCATGAGAAAACATACTAAAAGCCTGGAAATCAGTTCTAGCAAACAATAATAGATCATCAGCAACATCAAATGTGTAGTGGCAAGCTTTTCACATTTTGGATGGAAATTGAAATTTGGATCATCTTTCAATTTATTCAGCAAACAAGTGAGATTTTACATTTCAATAGCAAAAAGGAACGAAGACGTGGGATCACCCTGCCTCAAACCTTTTTTTAGCAGCAAAGGGAGGACAAGGCTTGCCATTTAAGAGAATATTTAAAAAACATTAGAAAGACAAGCAAAAATCTACTGAAACCAAGTTCAGTCATGAGTTCATGACATCCTTAAGATAACTCTGTTCAATGGAGTCATAGGCTTTTGTTTAGATCCACTTTGATCATGCATCTAGGAGACACATTAACTCTACTGTTACCACTGATAAGCTCATTAGCCAATAAAATATTATCAGAGATATGTCTATCAGGAATGAAACCAGTTTGAAACTCACTAACATCACCAATAACTACTTGCATTCTCTGAGTTAAAACCTTAGAAATGATCTTGTAAATAACAATACAGCATGCAAATGTGCGAAAATTCTTCACCGCAGGAACCTTGGGAATGAGAGTAACTGCGGTACAATTTAGTTGCCTCATAAATGAGAATCAAAGAATTCCATAACTGATGCATACACATCTTTCTTAATTATATGCCAGCTTTTCTTGAAGAAAACAGCATCTAGTCCATACAAGAGGCTTCCAGATAACGTCTTGAAACGCTATATCTTGCTTTTTGTTGCCAACATTCTCTAGTAACCCCTATCTTGTGCTAGATCATAGGAGTGACATTTCTTTGTATTTTAAGTTGATAATACATCTGTAATGTGAATGTTTTATGTGTTGACATCTTTTCACCCTCTGGATTTGACAGTCTGGACCTTTTGGATGCTTCCGGATGCTAGAGAAGTTGGGCAAGAAAGCTCCTATTGATTCAGGCAGCCACTCGTCCACCTCAATAGTTAGATGATGACTACCAATTGGAATGTGCATTATGTTCATAGGAATTTAAATCATTCAGTACATCCTAAATATTTCTCTGACCGCGGGCTGTTAAAGCTGCTTTTCTTCCTGCCATTCTTTCCTGACTTGCCAAGAATTCAGTTTCTATTGAATCTTCTGTGTAAGAAAGTAAGTTGGAAGAACCTTTAAAGTGAATTACTGAATAGGTTATACGCCTGTAAATATGAGACAGGTCTTATGTGAGGGTGCAACTGGCCGTTTCAACTTCTGTGATACCCATATCTCAAGTGAAAGATGGTTGATAGTACTTGTCTTATATTATTAGGATTCTTAGGAGAATAAAATGCTCCTTTGTGTGGTAGACACTAGACAGTTTTCTAAGTATACGTTTGGTCTTACAGATTATATTCTGAAATGAGATCCTTGTACAGTTGAGGAATGTAACTATTTCTGGTTCTATTGTTAGTGATGACAAATGATAGCATAACTTTGTTACTTTACACTAGTTTTTGTTTCCATTTTAATTTCCTAATTTATGTCATTTAGAAAAGGTTATCGAAGTGTAATTTAAATATACAAATTATTGCTCTGATTCAAAGAGGAGAAACTAAGGGTTCATATGGTGTCCCTTAGAAAAACTACTTTGATTATGAAATTAATTTTTCCATAAAATTGACAGCAATAATCTCAACTTTGCTCGATTCGCTCAAAATAATCTCAACTATTAATTATTTTTTAATAACCCAAACTTTAACATAAATTTGCTTCTAATGATCCCAACCGGTTATAAAACTTGCTATAACAAGTCACTCGATACGTGTTAGGACATGATTGTTCAAAAAATTAAATTAAAATTAAAAAAAATTAATCAAAGAGAAAAAAAAAATAATTAAAAAAACTTTAACCAGCCCAGCCAGCCACCAGCGCTTGACCTCATCTTGGCTGCCGACACCACTCCCCGGCTCGCCGGCACAAACAATCCCTCCCCCGCCGGCAAAGCTCGGTCACCTTACCCCTTTTCCCTTCCCACGAACAACCCCTATTCCCTAAATTCCCTCACCTCGACGCGCCACCCTCCTCCCATTTCCCTCTCCCCAATCCACCACATAATTAAACGCCCCTCCCTCCCCGGAACGACCACCGTCCCCTATTTGCCGGCCCCCAAAACCTTAAATCAGACTCAAAACTACCTAGAAAACCCAGCGGGAAGCCTACCTTAAACAACCCAGAAAACCAAACGACAAGGGGAGATGAGTGAGGTGAGCTTCGCTGGCGGAGGAGGGGGGAAATAATCCAGCGGGATGGGCGCAGGCCAGCGAGGGAGTAAGCAAGGCGCCGGCCATCGGAGGTGGGGGTCAGGCTGGGCTGGGGGCGACGGTTGTTAAATTGGTGGTGTTTTTTCTTTTTTTTTTTAATAATATTTTTTAAGTTAATTAATTAAACAATTAAATCAATAATATAAATTAAAATTAAACTTATTTTTGACCAATCATGTAATAACATGTGTACATTAAACTTTTGATAAAAAAAAATTAACTATTCATCAGGTTACTGGTCACTAGAGACCATTGAAAGCAAATTCATATTAAAGTTCGAATTATTAAAAAATAATCCCAACTTTAGATTATTTTGGGCGAATCGAGCAAAGTTGGGATTATTGCTGTCAATTTTTCCATTTTTTTCCTATTATTTATTTATTTATTTTTGTACTTATAACACTTGATTTTAGCACCATTCACTAGGGGTGTCAATTCGGGTAAACATTCGGGTTTGGGTTTGGTTTATCAATTTCGGGTTATAACGGGTCGGTTTATAATGGGTTGAAATGATTACTGAGTCAGTTTGGGTCGGTTTTGAAAATCATTGGGTCAGTTCGATTTGGTTTTTTTTTTTTTTTAATTGCGGTTTCAATTCAGGTCCGGTTCGAATCGGGTCGGGTTGTAGTTGGTTCGAGTCATAATTAGTTTGGGTTGAACTGAGTCGGTTTGGATACGGGTTTAGCTAGTTTAAAGTGGGTTTTGGTTAAAAACAGTTCGGATTCTAATCGGGTCGGGTTGTAATTGGTTTGGGTCATAATCAGTTTGGGTTAAATCAGATCGGTTTGAAAATGGGTTTCGGTTCAAAACAGATCGGGTGAAATTGGGGGTCTGGTCATTATTAGTTCAGGTCATAACCGGTTTGGATTGAACTTGGTCGGTTTGAAAATGGGTTTATCCAATTTGAAGCGGGTTTCTGTCCAAATCATATTGGGTTAAAATCGAGTCGGATCATTATCAAGTCGAGTTAGTCAGATAATGGGTAGGAACCAGGTCATGTTATCATCAAGCTAAGTCATAAATAAGTTGGGTTTATCGAGTAGTGGGTTGAAACGGATCAGATCATAAACATATTGGGTTACGAGTTGTAAAAAAACTCGGTCATAACAGGTTACCGGTCGTAAACGGTTCGGTCTTAACGGGTTACGAGTCGTAAACAGTTCGGTCTCAACGAGTTACGGGTTGGAAACAGTTCGGTCATAACAGGTTACAGGTTATATAAATGGTTCGGTCAAAACGGGTTACGGGTTGGACCGATTCAGGTTTATCGGATTTTTGCCGGGTTTAAACGGTTTTCGGTTTAAAATGGGTCGGGTTAGTAACGGTTCGCACAAATTCGGTTTAGTTCAGTTTCGGGTTAGAAAAAATTGGGTTGAGTCGGTTTTCGGTTTCCAAAAAATGGGTTTTTAACGGTTCAATTCCTTATCAGATCAGTTTGAAACAGTTGGATTTAACGGTTCGGGTCAGAAATTAACAGCTCTACCATTCACCTATGTTACTTTTATATATATATAATTAAAAAAAAAAACATTTACCTATGTTAGTTTGATTACATTTGATGATTGTATTATTTGTTCACTTCACAAACATATTTTGTACTAGTGAGAGTGAATGCTTTTCTGTTAATTAATTTAAGTCCAATAATACAGCATTAATTTGATTGATAACATTTCATACTATTGGACTTGGGGTGATAATATAATTATTAAAATATATAATTTAAAATCATTGGATTAAATTTTCGTATTATATTATGCAGATTATAATAGTTATTATATAATCAGCATAATTAATTAAATGTTGTTTCTTGCGACATTTTTTATGTGGCTTCTCACAAATTTGGCAATTAGAGTGTATCCGCGGAATACACATAATGTATGTACATTTAAAAAAAAAAATACTTACTATAAGTAGAAATTATAAAAAGTTTTTTATATTTATGAAACAAAACTTCTCACAATCCGCCTACAGCTTACAAAGTTACAAGTGATACTAATCAAGCTTAGTGTTAACACTTTCAATATTTGTATAATGGCAAGAACATTAACTTAGTATCATAATTTTTTCAAACAAATAACATGAGTACAAAATAAAAACCTGACAAATGTTTAAAAAAACCCGATGTACAATAACGCTGTTGTAAATTGGTACAAATAAAGCAAGTTAAGCACTTCAATTTGGGCTTGCATGTGTGAGCCCTGTTTGCCTTTTTTTTTTTTTTTTTTTTTTTTTACAGTTTTCAAATCCATTCCTTATTTTCTTTTTTCAGTTTCTTTCTCTACTCTTACCTTCCTCCTCTCTCTTCCTTCATCAGTTAATCGCAATTTCGTTTTCTCTGTCCAAGCTATCTTCACTACTTTCTCTTTGGTGATCGAGTGTTTTAAAGGATTGCTCGCAATTTATTTCATTTTTATTGATATTCGTTATTTATATATTACTGTTCAATTAGATATAGTTTCGTTTTTTTTGAATAAATTATTATGGTGCTTTCAATAGTTCAAAATAGAGGTACCATGATAATTTTCTCTCTTATAATTTAGGATTTTGTAACCTAATTATTTGCATGTGCAATTTTTTTTTTTTTTTTTTTTTTTGTGATTATTGGATCATATATGCTTTATGTGTTCATTCTGTGCAAATCATGGCAGTTTTGATGTACAATTGTTTTCTGGGTAATACTCGTAGTTGATTTCATTAAATATTTGGTATTTCACATGAAATTGACCCTTAAATTGTTTAGTATCAGCAAATTTGTGAAACCATTTGAAATGCAGCAAAGTAATGTGATTATATTCATTTTGATGGAGCTAGTTTTGTATTGCAATTATTGTGTTGCTAATTAATGTAAATGCAATGACAGGGATGCAACCCACCACCAATGGATATGGCGGGGACGTCGGCGAACATTAGTGTGTGTTCATCCCTTCAGCAAATTCCACAATCATCAGCAATTCAGCATCCTAGTCCTATATGTGATTATGTTGCCATGGTTATAATAGAATGAAAAGTGTACATCTACTTTCAAGGCCATTAGCTCAAATGGTAGAGCAATGTACTATAGTGTACATGGTGTGGGTTCAAGCCCCGCATAGCCTATACATAACACTTTCGTATTGGTGTATTCCTATCGTTGGTGTAACTACCTTGACCATTTTTGCCTTGGTTATGGTCACTTTCACTCTTAAATACAATTACTATTGTCTATGGTTAAGGGTACTTTTTCACTTGAGTAGGGTCATTTTTTACTCGATGAGGGTCATTTTTAATCCTCGGTGAGAGTCACTTTAGTTTTGTCTCCTTGCTTAGGGTCACTTTTGTCTCAAAATTAGGGTCACTTTTGCCCTCGGCTAGAGTCACTTTTTCCTTTGGTTAGAATCACTTTTGTCCCCAATTAAGGTCACTTTTGCCCTCGATTAGGGTCACTTTTGTGCCAGTTAGGGTAATTTCTGCCCTTAATTAGGATCACTTTTATTTGCCCTCGGTTAGGGTCACTTTTACCCCCAATTAAAGTCACTTTTGTCCCAATTAAAGTCACTTTTGTCCTCAATTAGGATCACTTCTACCTTTGGTTAGGGTCACTTTTTTCTCTAGTTAGAATCACTATTTGTTAAGTTAATACTTCGTACATATAAAATACAACAAAATAGCCTATGTGGAGTCGAACCTACATCCTCTGTGCGTAGAAGCATATAGTGCTCGTCCAATTAAACTAATAGGCTTGTAAACAACACAATAAAAAATTGTTTTATGTATATACAGGTTTTCTCTCTCCAATTAACTACTGGCATATTTACAGAGGGCTATGAATATACTCTTATATTCAATAAAATTGCATAGTACCTTAATTATTGACAAAACAAAATCAACTCCTCAAAACCCTCTCATTAATTCAATCAAACGTATATATAATACAATAGTTTCCTAACTCCTAACCCCTTTACAATAGGAAACACAATAAGATAGACTAAGATACAATAATAAGATATTCTAGAATATATTGCACAATATCACAATATTTCCTAAATTCCATCTTAACATCCCCCCTCAAGATGGAGCATGAAGATCTTGAATGCCCACCTTGTCTAGAAAAAATTCAAATTGTACCTTCCCTAGTGCTTTCGTAAAGATATCCGCTAACTGAATCTTCGTAGAAACATAAGATGGACGAATAACACCTTCTTTAATTGCATCTCGAATGAGATGACAATCTACCTCTATATGCTTTGTTCGTTCATGAAACACTGGATTATTAGCTATGTGAAGAGCCGACTGACTATCACAAAACATACTCATCCCTTGCTTGTGTTCTACACCTAAGTCTCTAA